TCTGCAATTCCCCTGGTGTTGCGGTTGTTCATGGGCGGCGGTAGTCACTTACCATCAGGTGAGCCGCATGCTCGTTTGCCCCCTCTCCTATAAAAAAAAAAAAAAAAAAAAAAAAAAAAAAAAAAGACTTTTGCATTTATATTAAATGCTATGTAATTATGCTGAATTTATTATATTCTTTTTAGTTTTTTAAAGTTGATTTTTATTTTTATAAGTTTCATTATTTGACACTTTTTTCTTCTACCCATTTCATCAATCCATTTCATTTTCATCATTTTCTATTACAGCTTATAAAAGTCCTCCATCATAGATTCTCCCACAGGGGGTATTTTACTATAGTTACCAACCATGGCAGGCGGGTTGCTACTGCAGCAGATTTTTTAGTTTTTTGTTGTTAACAAGAAGATGCTGCTGCCGATCTTGTTTCAGTTTCCCCTATATCGTCTGCTAATAGTGGATATTCTTACACCGCCACTACAAGGCTATCCTTGGAAACCCTTTTGAATAGACTAAGCAATATCACAAGCTAGCAACTAGTCTTTCTTAATAGTTACATTTAAAACTTCATCCTCTATTTTTACCCTTAAGGGTAGAATTTTTCTACAAATTTGAAATGGATCTACCTTTAAAGTACAGTCTATTTAATAGGTAAGTTTACTTTTAGTGATGTGTTTGAGTTTTTATTTTTCCATAGTGTTTTTTTTTTCTGTAACCATCGAACATATTTCACTGTCCTAGGGTTGACTGACAGAAAATGTTTTTAGCATTAAGTCCGCCTTGTATAAGTACATTGAGTAGGGTTCATTAAAGAATAAATAAATAAATAAATAAATAATGCGTGAGTGTCGTGGAACACTCGGTTGGAACGAAGTTCCTTGCGTAGTATATTATTATTGATAAACGTAGGTATTATATTATTGATCAACAAATACAAATAAATGAATTACTAGCATCTATTAAAATGAAGCGTCATTTGAAAGAAAATAATAAAATATTTCTTTCATGGCAATATAAGAAAAAGTGCGAGGGAGATGGATATTATTCCATCTCACTTCCTTATTTCGCCGCCAAGGCCGTTTACACTATGACACAAGGGGTAGTGACGAAAAAATCTTACACTTTTTGTCACCTAGCTTCTATCCGCCAAACCCGTACTGTCCGATATAGAACTTTGTTCCAAAAGGAATCATTAAAATTGGTTCCCAGTTATCGCGGAGATTATCTGATACAATTTAGTAACAAATATGTAGTTACTTTTTTGTTATTTTAGATTTTTATATCTACTTATCTTAATATTTAAATGCTAGAATTGCATTTCTGTTTAGGATTCCATCTGGTTATACCTTCTTACCTAATTCTATCGCCAAATAGCAATACTTGCATTGTTGTTGTTTTTTTTTTATAGAATTAGGGTAACAAACGAGCACACGGTCCACCTCATGGTAAGTTGGTAAGTCGTTACTGTGTCGCATAGACATCTACATCTATCTTCGTTTACGAATTAACATGCAGATGCGTTGTCAGCCGTGAGGACTAAGATAGAATGCCACTTTTTCAGTAAAAAGGGGTCTCCAGTTCTCTACACTCATCATACGAAACACAGCAGCGTTAAGCTGCTATTTTGCGCTGGTATTCTGTGACAGCGTGGTCCTTCCCCGGTCGAGCCGACCCATTCGTGCTACTATTAATATAGCTGCAGCATGGCTCTACCACGTAAAACTTTTTTGTTCCGTTCTGAATGTGTAATTACACGCTGTGAGGAATTCCATCTTATTCGTCAGAGGTGACAAGGTATCTGTAGCGTTCTTTGTTGGAAGTTGCCCACAGCTGTCCATCAGCTGCAATAGCCACTTACCTTCAAGTGGACTGTAAATTCGTCTTTCGTAATACGTGCAGCAAAGGAGTGGAATAATTTGCCAGCGTCTGTCATTCCATCTGAATACAATCTGGGCGTCTTCAAAACAAGAGTGAAGAGGCTATTGTTACGCTAAGGCAGTGCGATTTACCATCTAGGGCTTCATCATCACTTACCACCAGGTGCTGCCAGCTCTAGCCTATAATATAAAAAAATCGTCTCTTCAGTTTTTCACTCACGACGCAAAAATAGGGGTTACATGTTTGACCGCTATGTGTGTCTTTCTGTGTGTGTGTGTCTATGTGTGGCACCGTAGCTCTTAAGCGGGTGAACCAATTTGGATGCGGTTTTTGTTTGTTTGAAGGTGACTTGAAGGGTGAAAGTCGTTTGAAGTTCATCAGATCTTTTGTTTCGAGGTTTTTTGAAATTTTCAATTTAATATTATATAAAAAACAAGTCGGTTAAAAATATTGTATTTTATTTTTAATCATTAACATACAGTACGTACAAAAATACTTACTAAATAACTATCGATACAAATTATACAGTATACCGGTGAAATAAACTTACACAAGCCGCTCTATCTCCGGTGATAGTGAGCGGGATGCGGACATATCGCGATGAATTATTCAACGTTCGCACTTAACACAATGACTTGCTGAAAGATTGACTACGTTTATGCTTCACCTACTTATCTTTCAGTGTTTGATTATATTATGTGCATTTGATCAGAGCCAACGGAGAACCTGTGAATGTGCAATGTGTGACCGTAGAATAGAATAGAATAGAACAGAATGATTTTTTATTCAATATTCAGTATTACATAATACTTATTGAGTCATTTTTTATTTACCACTGGTTCGGAAAATACCTCTGTCCTGGGAAGAGCCAGCAAGAAATCCAGCGGGACTTTTTTTAAACATATTTCACTTAACAGTAATTATGTTTATACAATTTTTAAATGAATTTTCATAGAACCAACATGGTGGCGATCACCTTAAGTAGAGACAGACACGCATGGAAGTCTAACCAACTATTGCAGTAGAAGATGCTACACAGTTCAAACGTTATATGCTCTTTGCATTTTACCAAGTGTTGAAAGAATAGAATAAAATACAACAGTTTTTATTCAATACTAAAGATCCGCCCCGGCTTTGCATAGTTAATTTCTGGATCTCGACAACAGCGCCACCTACCGGGTCCAATTGTGAATCTAAACCATCCAGGGACCCACTTAAACGAACACGAATAATTTCGTCACAACCAGTCAAGACACTTTCGACTTTTAGCGACACTAACGGACGTTAATTGATTTTTTATATAAAGAGATAGATTATTACATAATACTCTATGAAAGCCATTTTTAGGGTTCCGTATCCGAAGGGTAACCAACGGAGCCCTATTCTAAGCCTCCGCTGTCCGTCCGTCTGTCTGTCAGTGGGCTGTATCTCATGATCCGTAATCGGTAGATAATAAAAATAAATTAAAAATCAAAAAGAGCTCCCCTACTAGAAAAGTGAATTACGATGGTACGAAACTTTTTATGCGCGACTCCGACTTGCACTTGGCCGGTAGTTTTTATTTACCACTATTTCGGGAAATACCCCTGTCCTAGTAAGAACTAGCAAGGAAACCAATGGGATTATATTTTTGGAAACATTTATAACTTTACAATAATTTTTGCACTTCAGGTAATTACACTTACACCCATTTTGTTACTTAAAACTAGGGGTTAGTAAATTTACAGATTTCTATATGAATTTTAATAGTCGTTCTATTTAAATATTTTACATGGTTACGATCACCGTATTCCCAGGGGTTATTTTCATTCATGTATTCCTTGATATTATAATAACCCTTTTTGTACAATTTCTCTTTAATAAAACTTTTAAACGTGTTAATTGACAAACTGAACATTTTCTGGGATTTTATTGTAAAAGCGTATAATATTTAGCTTTGAAAACCAAGACAGTAATTATTTTTCCTTTTAACTCACACAAAACATTGTATTGGATTGTCTTTCCTCACCAACGCACGCTTTCAATTACATTGCTACATATACATAAAGTCGGTAGATGCATTTAACTTTACAAAACCTTATTCCAAAGAGGGTTTTAGAACGGGGACTCTTCCCTTGCCGTATGCGTATACCGTCTTCTTCATTCCATGTTGACGAACAAGATGGTCGGTTCATTTCGCTCTAAGGCTAAATATGTATATCCATTGCGCGAGAAAATGCAACCAGCGTTTTTGACAATATACCGGGGGCAGTAGGACTGTATGATAATTTATGTTTAATTAATGTAGCATTTTATATAATACTAATTTAAAAAACAAATTAATAACTAACTGCCTCAATGGCTTAGTGGTCGTAAAAGCGATTGTTGATGATATACAAAAATCAGTAATTGGGATTTTCCGTCGAAAAATTCTCAGTTAATCCGGATTGAAGCAGTTGGGGGCGTTTCACCCCTGTGCCTAGGCGTTAACAAGAAAGGCGTTGGTCGTGTCGGATTACCGTCCCATCGGACTATGATAGTGAAGGAATAGAGAGTGCAACTGTGTCCGCACATACACTTGTGTACTATATCTAAACATGTCCTGCGCAGATGATTGGCCTCTGTTGAGACTGGCCTCCGTAACCAAAATTCGGTCTGGAGGACATTATTATCGAAGTGAAAACGTCTTTAGCCGCGTTAAGCAGTTTTAGTTAGGGGAAAAACTTATGGTTCGCGTCACCGATGACCTCGACATGCTCGTGACGAGATATCAACTACGCGTCGTTATAATATAGCGGCCTGTGTACATCTATATGCATATATCATTGAGTTTTCACTTCTGGCTGGCAGTTTTCACGTTCTTATGGCTGCCTCTGTTTTTTTATTTTATTAAATACTTCGACTATATTGTAACATTAACAAAATCGGTTATGCATATTTCTTCCTTTTGTCCTTCATCGCTTAGCATTTTACCGACTTCAACGTTTAATAAAAAAAAATATGAAGCGGAATATAGTTTCATCGCAATTAAAAAGATACGCAAAAGGTAGCGAAAGATCAGTCTAAAGGGACCTATGTTCTGTCTAACGTTTTGAGACGACAAAAGTAACATACAAAAGTAACATTTTCGTTTTGAACCTCCTCAGGGGGGCGTGTATCTAGTGGACTTGCTGAACGTGTATGGGCCGGGGCTGGCGATCTTGTTTCTGGTGTTCGCGGAGGCGGCGGGCGTGTGCTGGCTGTATGGCGTCGATCGCTTCTCCGAGGACGTGAAGAGCATGCTGGGACACACGCCCGGCTTGTTTTGGCGCGTTTGTTGGACCTACATCAGGTACTTTTACTTTAAAATATGAAAGTAACCACCCTTTCAGTTTTCTACAGGATGCATTTCGGAGAGTGTGCGCAGGAATTGTATAACTCCTACGTGGTAGAGCCATGCTGCAGCTATATTATGGTTGTAGCACGAATGGGTCGGCTCGACCGGGGAAGGACCACGCTCTCACAGAAAACCAGCGTAAAATAGCAGCTTAACGCTGCTGTGTTTCGTATGGTGAGTGTAGAGAACCGGAGACCCTTTTTACTGGCAAAGAGGCATTCCATCTTAGTCCTCACGGGTGACAACGCATCTGCATCTTGAGTATTTATTGAGGATAGATGTAGATGTCTATGGGTCACAGTAACCACTTACCATCAGGTGGACTGTGTGCTCGTTTGTCACCCTATCCTATAAAAAAAAACCAAACGGTTCGCTACGTCGTGTGTGCTGCGTACAGCAAAGGAATTGAATAAGTTGCCAACATTTGTCTAACCATCCAATTACAATGTGGGTGACTTCAAGGCAAAAGTAAATAGGCTTTTGTTAAATCAGTGCGCTTCACCATCTTCGGCTGCATCACCACTTACCATCAAATGGAATAGTAAAAAAATATTTTCCTTTGTTTTTTAAAAGAAAATAACTTTTTGAACCTCTGGCGTTGGAGTGAGGATTTATCATCTTTGCATCTTTGACGCTGCTCAGTGCTCACCCATCACCGGTCTAATTATTTCAGTTCTGCCTAGTATTGTCTGTCCGTAAAGATCTGATTTAAAATAGATATTCTTAGATCTTTCTGCCATTTCCCAAAGTTGCCTCTTACGACACTCATGACATGAAGTAGGGTGATGCATTATCTTACTCCACCACTACACCCTAATGGTTTCACCACACCTGTCAACATTGAATTATATGTACTACGTACTAGAGAAGCCATTCCGAACATTGACTATGTTCAAGTGAACTGTAGTGCAATCCATACAAACTAAATTTTGCGTAAATTGAAGATTTGTGAATTCCATAAAATAATTATTATAACATTTTATTTAGAAATGTGTTTGTTTAGATTAAATTAAGATATTTTATATTAAATTCTTATATTTATTTTATATTAATATCTTATTTTATATTAAACTAAAGTCTTCGCGCATGCGCGACTACTACTCCCGCGCATGCGCGAAGGCATAGAGTAGGACACAATTTTTGTTTGGAATGGCTTCTCTAGTACGTAGTACATATAACTCAATGCCTGTCATGAACAAGTTTAAAAACTCACAATATAATAAGTCCATCACAACGTACTTAATAATTTCTATAACGTAAATTATGACCCAAAAAGAAAAAATACTATTATATAATTATTTTTCCCATGCTCCACAGTCCGGTGTTCCTGCTGGTTCTGTTCGTGTTCTCGGTGCTGTCGCACGAGGAGATGCTGGGCGGCGAGTACACGTACCCGCGTTGGTCCATAGCCGTCGGCTGGCTCATGACCGGCACCACCGTCTCCTGCATACCGATCTACTTCATCTACAAGCTGCTCATTACACCTGGAACCTGCTACAACGTGAGTAAGAATGTACAGTTACGTGAGATGCTGCTCCTCATCTCCTGTTTCAGTTTTCCTCTGTCGCTTCTTACGATGGGATAATATAGTCGCGGATTCCACAACAGAACCCAATAAATTTTTTAAAATAACTATTATTTTAATTAGAGCATGGTTTTTCCCCGATCGACTCGAGCGAGGAAGAACCACGCTTTCGCAGAACACCGGCGTAAAATATCAGCTTAATGCTGCTGTGTATGGCGAGTTTAGAGAACCGAATACCCCTTTTACTGGAAACGAGGCATTCCATCTTAGTCTTCAAGTGTGACAACGCATAAGCATTATGATTCTTACCATTAGATGAACTATGCTCGTTTGTATCCCACATTCTTTAAAAAAGGTGGACTTGGTTTGTCGTTTCAGTTTTATGATTCTGTAAAATAAATTGCAGCGCTTGAAAACAATCAAGCGTCCAGTGGAGAGGTCGGTGCCGGGCGGCGACGTGTCCGCGCTGTGACCGCGCGCGACGCTCGAGTGGCTCGTCTAGTCGTCCAGCGCTTCCCGCTTGCCACCAGGTGAGTTGCTAGGCTGCCAGATCGTTTAATTGGATAAAAATGTGTATATTACAAAGACTTCTATGTATACTACCAGACGGACTCTGCGGCTTTTACACAGTTTTTTGCACGGTACCCTCTTTTTCTTTTTCTAAAATAAAAGTAGCCTAAGTTACTCATTGTGACATCAGCTATCTGCCAGTGAAAATCCCGTCAAATCGGTCCAGCCCTTTCGGAGATTAGCCGGAACAAACAGACAGACAGACTGACAGACAGACATACAAAAACTATATATAATTTCATATGCATTTAATAAAAAGCTGTAATTTGGACATTAAAAACAGACACTTCAATTTTATTTATTTCTATAGATAAGTTTGTAACAGTAACTGTTGTAAATGAAAATACAACTGCGTGGCATACTTAACGTGCCAACTGCCCACCTGCGCCCGCATCCGCGCGATCCTCAGCTGTAGGAGTAGGGGAGACCGGGTACAAAAGTAACATTTTGTGCTTTTACCTTGTTTTCTGGTTAGGTATAATTATTTTTATGAAATTAATCTAGCCATTTATACATTTCGTTTATGTTCTTTACATTAGTATATTAATTTAATTTATTATTGTGTATTTTATATGAATCACAGCGACTTTAAAAAAATTCGTCAGTTGTTACTTTCGACCACGTAGGAAGGCCGAAAGTAACACGTTGTGGGTCGAAAGTAACAGGAGTAAGGGGTTTGTAATGAATATAACGTGACATATTAAATCAGCTAATTATTTATTACAAGACTTTGTATTAATAACTCAGATAAACATTTGCATTTTATATGCTCAAAAATTATATATATGAAGAAAACAAAAGAATTTAGTAATGAGATCAATTATAACATGAAATTATTTTTTTTATAATCAGACTATTCAGTATTAGTATTTTACTAAGACTCACAACTATGGCACATAATTTGCATCATCGATAACGCATTCAGCATGTGACTAAATTTTACATTTTGTACATTGTATCCTTTGCTTATTTGGTCAATTTTTGCTAAAAGTTTCTAAACAAACGAGACAGAAGCAATCTTCGTCGTCAGATTTATTTTTCTTGCCTTTAACTGCCTTCTTTGTCTTTTTTCCTTTTCCTTTCCCTTTCGTAGATATCAACTACCTCTTGTCAATCCCAGTATTGGGCTTTAAAACCTTTTTTTTTTGTTGGTTCGGTTCTTCAAATGCGTTTTTTTTCGGGCGTATTTGTCAATAGTGCTGCCTTACATTTTTACATCCTTTATTTGCTACAGTCCTCGGACCCGCTTGTGGTAAAAGTCTTAGATCTCTCGGTGTAGAATCAAACGGCTGAGAAGAATTTGCTTGCTGTAACCAGCTAAGTCCTGGTACTGGCAAATCGGATTTCTTCCACAAATCATTGCTAAATGTACACTGGGTATTCTGGTCACTCGATGTTGGAAGATTATTAACTGTAGTCTCCAGATCAACTTGGATGGAGGACGTTGCATTAAAACTGGTCAACAGATCATTTGGTGGAATTTCACTGTTAACTTGTAAAGGCCGGTCAATGACAGATGATTGTACATAGTCAACAGCAGTGAATACATTCCTATTAAATGCACTTATACCGGTGTAGGTACAGGCAAATGGCATTTCGATCAGTGACAGAAAGAGGAAACGCTTCTCTAACAATCCCAGGAATGTAATGGGTAGTCATTGTCCGACCAGAATGATTCCGCATCCCTTTTTTTACAAAACTCTAGAGTTTGGATAGATATATGCGATGCATGGTTGTCGAGCAGTAACAAGCATTTTTGTTCAACTGTTGGCTTGACTTGGTTTTTGAAGTGCTCTTGAAACAGTAAAAGTTGTGCCTCCTGTATCCAATTACTAGCATTGCCAGCTCCGTCACAACCAACACGACCAGGGATCTAATTTTTGTACCAGTTTTAGAAAGCTCTTCAGTCGCTTTTCGGTACACTTCCGTGTCAGTAGTTCCTCGTGTGGTAGTTCTTATGTCGTGGCATTCTGTTCAAATAAATATACACATAACAATAGTAAGTAAATAAATCAACATGGGGACAAAAGTAACATGTTACTTGTGTACCCATAGGGCTATGTTACTTTTGTACCCGATCATATTTTTGTTAATAGATGAAAGATAACTTTGAAACGGAATATGCTAGACAAAAATTAATTAAAACAACGTGTAGTCAATCTAATCAAGAATTAATATGCAAATATTCAGATTGGTATCATCCTTTTAAGACTACGAAAACATTAAATAAAAAAACGTCAAAAAACTTACTTTTGATTTGTGAAATCACATAGTGTCCTCTCACACAACCTAACAGCGCGTGACACGCGCGGCGATTGAATGCAAGTGAGGGGGCCACTACCGGCTATCACCTTACAGAAGCAAAGCGGTGTTTGGCTAATGGATAAACCTATAGAGCATTTGTTACTTTCGACCCGCCGTTACTTTTGTACCCGGTCTCCCCTATACATAGAAGTCTTTTGTATAATATGGTTATCTTATTATTACATATCTTAGTATTACAAGTAAAATTCGCAAGAATTAAAACATTATATTCAAAGTTAAAGTTTTTTTATTCAAATTATTAGCGCTTATGAATGTCAAAATCTACACCGGTTTGATAAACAACATGTTCTCTAAGAAGAATCGGCAAGAAACTCTGGGCTCTCTTTATTAAATCGTATTACAGTTCGTTTAAAATAATTATTATTATTTATTTTATATTCATCGTTTCTCAATTTCATTCCGTACGATAATTCACTTATATTAAAAAATCTAAATATCGAACGTCGCAACATATAAAATATGTTAACTAATTTCAAAATAATATTGTGAAATTAGTTAACATATTATGGTGATGCGCCATATTATACGAAGTTTCTGAGAGATAATGACACCAAAAGAAAAATGTAGCAAAAGTGCATCAATAACGATAATATCTCAAGGCGTTTAAACAAATGAATACCTTGAGGTCTTTATCACTGGTTGTCACGAGTAATTTCAATGTCTTTTTTGTTTCAGCAACTCTCATTCCGACGAGATAGTAACATTTTTACAAAGTTTTGAGTTTTTAGCTTTCTGTTAATTTTCATTAGCATATAAGTTAATTTAAAATAAAACATATTTTTAAACGAATTACGGTTGAAATAACATTAATTATTCCACGACGACGACGGACACGAAAATTTTTAAAAATAATAAATACAGAGCAGAGCATCACTTGTATAAAAATTTAGAATAATAAACATAATAATTTCATATTATATAGTTAATCGTGTCTAGTAAGCTTAACAAACTAAATAAATAAGCTTCGGTAAAATTAGAAAATATGAAAAGGGCGGGTTTCTCGATGAATATATTATACTATATAAACTAAATATTATACTATATTACGGTTAGAAAATGAATATATGATTTTTTAAAGTTAAAAAATTAGTCATAATAGTACTAATTATAGCCACAGCTTAATAATTATGTGACTCACAAAATTAATAAGTCACACGTTTAATCATCAAGAAATACTTTTCAACACTTAGTAGGCGAATATGTTACACATAAATTGAGATTTATGATATTTAGTGAAGCTTATGACGACTGTATTATTAAAAAGTTATTATAATGATAATTTTCGTGCTTTTAATGTAGTCTTCTTGTTTAATAACGGAGTACATATTAAAGATTTAAGCGAACATGTAAATATTTTAAGTAGAAAATAGAATGTAAATATTTAAAACATGCTGAACAGACTATAAAAATAAAAGTGTACACATGTTTATTGTTTGTGATAACATATAAACAAAGTGTACAATACAAATATTTCCGTATTCGCGGGCAATGAATACAGAAATATTAAGCAACATCCATATATGCGCAAGATACAAATATATTATGTAATGCATTATTTTAATATATGACTATGTATGTAGATGATTTAACGTACGTAATCAGGTTGATGTTACTTTAGACTTGTAATCAAACCCTAGTCTAATAACATTTTAAAATTATGATTAGAAATATAAAATGTTTGTACACAGACAGCTTTGTCTGGAAAATTCACTCCAGTAGTAATATATGCATATTGTGTATAAAATATATATTCGAAGTTTAATAGGTAATAGTTACTTTTAATACAATATACGTAATTTTTAGCAATGTTTGCAACATTGAAGGCATTCGATGTATACAAGATTCATATTCATACAATTTAGAAATAAATGCTTACAACGATTTAAAGAAATTCACTTGTTGTCTCGCTAAAATAGTTATAATTTAATTACCTACGTGTTACATTTCATTTACCTAATATGTAAGTCAATCTTCTAATTATTATATTCTCATACTAGAAATATATTACTTTTGTTAGATATATGATGCATGCCCTAAACGTTAATAGGTATAGTGATACAACTATGTTATTCGATCCTATAATATTACGTATTAATCGAGTGTTCAGTGTTTTTATATAAAATATTAAAAAATGTAGTTCATATACCCACAGAGTAATTTAATTTTTTAAAGTTATAAAAAAAATACCTGTCTGTTTGTTGTTATGTACTATGTCATTTAGTAATAAAAGTTATCTTTGTTATTGTGTTAGACGATGTAACGGATAGAAATGTGTTGTGTATGTATGTAATAAACTCACAAATGTTTAGACGGGGCCTGTGTCAGCCATCACAGGTCACTCTAACCATTTGTTAAAAAAGTAAAGTGTTTTATTTGTATTATAAGTTACAGTTACAGGCTATTAAAGTCCATGGATGGAGGGATGGATGGTTACAGCCTATTAAAGTCCACTGCTGAAAATAGGCTCCTCCCATAGATTGCCTCATAGAGGACATATTAGCTATAGTTGCCACGATTGGAAAGTGGGTTGAAACCCGCTGTTTATTTTTATTTTAGTCGTTATTGGGAAGACTACTGCCCATCTCCTGATTTGTTTCCCACTGTCGTCTATTGCGACACCTACGGGATGATATGGGGTAGTGGATATTCTTACATGTACAGAGTAGTGGATATTCTTACATGTATAGGGTAGTGGATATTCGCGTCTCCTTTTATTCTTTGTTATCTGATAGAGCATGCCATGCGTGTTATGACTGTAGCACGAATGAAGCGACTCCAACGGATAGAAGCACGCTTGCACAGAATGGCATCGTGAAATAACAGCTATATACTGCTATGAGAAGTGTTCGTGTTGTGAGTGACGAGAATAAGAAACCCTTTTTTTATAGGATAGGGTGACAAACGAGCACACAGTCCACCTGATGGTAAGTGGTTACTGTGGCCCATTGACATCTACATCTAACTTCGATTATGAATCAAAATGCAGATGCGTTGTCACCCGTGAGGACTAAGATGGAATGCCTCGTTTCCAGTAAAAAGGGTCTCCGGTTCTCTACACTCACCATACGAAACACAGCAGTGTTAAGCTGCTATTTTACGCTGGTATTCTGTGAGAGCGTGGTCCTTCCCCGGTCGAGCCGACCCATTCGTACTACAACCAAAATATAGCTGCAGCATGGCTCCACAACGTATAAAAAGTTAATACTTTCTTTTAAAGAATAAGGGAGACGTACAAGCACATAGTCTACCTGATGGTAAGTGGATGTTGTACCCATAGGCATCTTTATCAACTAAAAATAGATGCGTTCTCACCCCTGAGAACTAAGACGTTCCTAGTTCTCGTGAAAAATGTTCTTCAGATTTTCTACGCTCACCATATGAAGCACAGTAGCCTCAAGCTGCTATTTTACGTTGATATTCTGAGAGAGCGTGGTCTTACCCCTGCCAAGCCGATCCATTTGTGGTACAACCATAATATATAGCTGCAGCGTGGCGCTAAATCAACGTATATTTTTATTAGCAACAGTCTGTCTGTCAGTTGGATTGTGTGGTCGTTTATTACCATTAATTCTATAAAGAAAACTTTCTCAGCTGAGAGTATTTAAAAGTAAAGTAGGTTCACATAATATAAGCTTTATGAATATATAGGTAGTAATACTGTATGAATATGTTAATAAAAAAGAAATAAATAAATTGAATTATTAATATTTAAAAGTACACGAATTTATGAGACTATAAGGAACTATGACGTCATTTAATGGTATTCCCGTTCAATGAGAATTTTCACAAACAAAAATCAAAGATCATAGAATATCATATATTTATATAACATGTGTTATATAAATATATGACACTACGTTTTAGCCTTAGGTTCTAACTTAGAACAATAATTAGTTTAAGTCACAAATATATTTCAAATGTTTAGGTTTTTTCGCGCGGATCCCTAATTGTTTTTCTAAGATAAAAGTTGCCTAAGTTACTTCTTATGACATCAACAATCTGCCAGTGAAAGTCCCGTCAAAATCAGTTTTTAGTCAAGATTGGTTATTGTTTAAACAGACAAAAAATTTTAAAAACTTGTTGTTTTTTATAAGTGCCGTATATACGTTCATATGTATTTATTAACTAGCTAGTGGTAAAATTAACTACTGGGATGCGGGAAGTAAAGACTGTGTAAGAACCTCCGAAGGAGGCGGAGTTATAGCCGCAATAAGAATTTTTAATTTTTTGCTTTTTCGCCATATTGATCCCCTAGGAGTGTAATGAGAACTTTTTGCCCCTATTCAACCATGACCCCATGAAACCCTCTACATGATAGGCTATTCAAACTGACTAGGCCTAAAGTTCGAGTCACCCCCCAACTCATTTCTAGTCTTTACTTCAAGTTATTTCCAAAAACATGTTATTTTGACATTACAAACAGACACTTCAATTTTATTTATTTGTTAGATTGTCTATGGATTTAATAATAATATTGACAGAAATGTCGTAGCTCGTAGCCTACTACATTTATATAGTTTATTTTGACATCATAACTTTGGCATCAAATCTATATCACAACAAAATAACAAACTGAAGACTAAATTTTAAGTGTATCGCAATGTGCTCAGCTTTTTAAGGAAAATGCACCGAAGGGAAAGACTGCGCCTCGAGAACTGCCACCGGCGTAAGCATGGCGGCCAGATCTGTAAGCTTCTATACACTTTGCGTGAGTACTATTTGCAATCCGACCATTCAACATCTAATATGATTTGGAAATGTTACTTCTTCATTCGACTATATTAAAGCCCAGTTTCCCAAAATTAGCTTCTTTGTACGTAACTTAGAACGTACCACACCAATCGATCTATCCTCGACCGATGTCGATCGATTGGTGTGGTAGCTTTAACTGATCGACAGATACTGATCGAAAAACGTTGTTCAATCATCGTCCGATGTCGATCGACAATCAATCAATGTGATTGTGGGCTCATCATCCCATCATCATCATCATTACAGCCTTTCATAAGTCCACTTGTGAAGGGCTGTAATGATGATGATGATAAGTCCACTGCTGAACATAGGCCTCCCCCAAGGAATGCCACAAAGCACGGTCCTGAGCCACCTGCATCCATCGACTTCCTGCATGTCTTACCAGGTCGTCACTCCATCTCGTGGGGGGTCGCCCTACACTTCGCCTACCGGTACGAGGCTGCCACTCAAGAACCTTTCTTCCCCATCAGTTGTCGGATCTTCGAGCTATATGGCCAGCCCACTGCCACTTCAGCTTACTAATCCGTTGGACTATGTCGGTTACTCTGGTTCTACTGCGGATATCCTCATTCTTAATTTTATCACGCAGAGAAACTCCGAGCATAGCCCTCTCCATAGCTCGCTGAGCGACCTTGAGTTTCCTCATACGGCCAGCAGTGAAAGACCACGTCTCTGTTCCGTAAGTCATCACTGGCAACACACACTGGTTGTACAATTTCGTTTTAAGGTTTTAAGGTATGTCAGACGAGAAGATGTGTCGTAGCTTCCCGAACGCTGCCCAGCCGAGTTGAATCCGTCGATTGACCTCTCGGTCGAAGTTGGACTTACCTAGTCGGACTATTCTTTTTTTTACGGGGGAAATCCTCATGGACTACCTCCGCCTGGGGAAAGGCGGAGGGGCGTGCCGGACTCTTACCGGCTAAAACCACCCCGGTGTCTCCTCACACGTGCGCGTGTAGCCGCGGCAATCCAAATTCTTCCGCAGCCCCACACTAGTGCTGGCCCGGTCTGTCCGGGCCTCGTCTCCTGCACGGGGTAGTGAGGTGTTCAACTACCCCGTGTATCGCCTCAGGGGCGCGCGCCGACACCGCGCGCGCCTCCGCCTCGGGTCCATCGAGTAGGGGTGGCGGGGGCTTCCCCAAGTCCCTCGCCCCTGGACCCATTCATGGGGGCCGGAAAAGGGCGTTGTCCGCCCTTCTCCTGCGCCCGGTGCGCCTTCTGCGGCCAGGGAAGGGAGTCGAGATCTCCCTTTCCCGTTCCGCAGTTTCCTTCTGCGACATCACGTCCTCGCAGAAGGACAACACCGCATCCCACGACTCTGCGCTACCGACCATCTTCCGCACTAAGGCCGGCAGCGACAGATCGCCTCCTACTTTATTTGTGAGGACACGGCGCTGCTCCTCCCAAGCTACACACTCGGCGAGCGTGTGTTGCGCCGTGTCCTCCCCGCAATGGACGCAGTGGTGGCACCGAGCGTCCGGCTCCCTGTCTATGCGGCGCAGGTACTTGCCGAAGCAGCCATGCCCCGACAGCACTTGCGTCACCCTAAACGACAGGGAGCCGTGCCTTCTCCCGAGCCAGTCGTCGAGTACTGGCCGGATCGCCTCGACGGTAGCGAGGCCGGCGGTAGGGCGCAGAAGCCTTTGCCGCCATTCCGCCACCAAGACCTGACGGAGCTCCTCTCGGCGCAGCGCGATCTGCCGCTGCACCGGCCTCGAGCCTTGTGCCCGCTCTTCCTTGCGCCATCGATATAATGACGTGAGTACTTTCGCCTCTAGGTCCCAGGGCGGGGATCCGGCCAGGAAGTTGGACTATTTGTCCCAAGTAAACATACTCGTCAACAACTTCGAGCTTAGTGCTCCCAACAACTACCGGCATAGGTGTGACATGGACATTAAACATAATCTTTGTTTTGTCCATGTTCATCTTAAGACCTATCCGTTGGGAGACACTATTGAGGTCATTGAGCATAGTGCTTAGGTCCTCTAGCGATTCTGCCATAAGGACTATATCGTCGGCAAATCGAAGGTGAGTGATGTACTCGTCATTGATGTTAATACCGTATCCTTTCCAGTCCAGAAGCTTGAAAACGTCTTCCAATGCAGCGGTGAAGAGTTTCGGGGATATAACGTCACCCTGTCTTACACCTCTCTGCAATTGGATAAGTTTCGTACTCTGGTTCTGTACTCGGATAGCCATCGTAGCTCTACTGTACAAGCACTTCAGCACTTCGATATACCGACAGTCAACTTGGCACTGCTGAAGGGACTGCAGCACCGCCCAAATTTCGACGGAATCAAAGGCTTTCTCGTAGTCCACATACGCTAGGCATAGTGGCAAATTGTACTCTTCGGACTTCTGTACAACTTGCCGAAGGGTATGTATGTGGTCTATTGTGCTAAAGCCCTTTCGGAAACCGGCTTGTTCGGGAAGCTGGAAGTCGTCAAGTCTGCGTGCGAGACGATTCGTAATGACTCTCGAAAACAGCACGTAGACGCGGCTCAGAAGGGAAATCGGTCTGTAGTTCTTCAAGAGAGCATTGTCACCTTTCTTGAAGAACAAGACCACCGCACTTCGGCTCCACGCCTCCGGTGTAATGCCACCACGGAGGACGGAATTAAAGAACCTCTGAAGGACTTCCAGTACCGGTTTTCCACCCGCTTTCAGAAGCTCCGCCGTAATTCCATCCTCGCCTGGGGCCTTGCCATTTTTAAGATGCTGGAGAACCATTCTAATCTCGCTCAGACTGACGTCCGGGATATCTTCGGAATAGTGTCGGATAAGACTCGCTCTTGGATCGTTACTCACACTTGCGTGTGGTTCCAACGATGCCGCGTACAGCTGTCCATAGAACCTCTCAATCTCACTCAAAATCTCAGGTGCCTCGGAAACGATGCTGCCACACTCGGTCTTCAGCTTTGACAGTTTACTTTTTCTGGTAGACAGATCTCTGGCAAAGACTTTGGAGCCCTGGTTCCGCTCGATCGCTTCTTCAATACATAGCGCTGTTGCTGACTCTGTCACTGATGTGGTGCTACAGGGAATGGAACTATTTATTCCATCATCTGTGGTACCCATCGGAGGCAGGTCTCAGCCTTGGTTTGGTCGCTCCTGTAAGACTGCATTGCGCAGAAAGCAGGAGTGTTATCAAGCCTGGGCTGCGGCTTCGGTGACTCGGGATGTAAACACCAGCACACTTAAAAAGAAGTATAACTTCGCCTCCAGGTCCTTCAAAAGAGTTATTGCCAAGGCAAAGTCAGAGCACATAGGCAGAATTGGCGAGAAACTAGTTCGCCTTCCTTCGGGAACCCGTGCATTCTGGTCTCTCGCCAAGGCTGTCCAAGGGAATTTCTGTAAGCCATCACTACCATCTCTGCACAGGGAGGACGACTCACTGGCCCACGACGCAAAAGAGAAGGCCGACCTTTTAGGCTCCCTTTTTGCGTCCAACTCGACTGTTGATGACGGGGGGAACACACCGCCGACCATCCCGCGGTGTGAGTGCTCTATGCCGGATGTGCTATTCTCACAGCGCTCGGTTCGCAGAGCACTCCTCTCCCTTGACATCCACAAGTCGAGTGGGCCTGACGGAATCCCCCCAATTGTGCTGAGGACGTGTGCTCCGGAGTTGGCACCGGTTCTAACGCGTCTTTTCCGGTACTCCTACTCCCATGGCGTTGTCCCGAACTCATGGAAGACAGCTTTTGTCCACCCGATCCCTAAAAAAGGCGACCGCTCAGACCCGTCCAACTATAGGCCTATCGCGATCACCTCCTTGTTCTCCAAAATAATGGAATCCATTATTAACTGCCAGCTCATCCGGTACCTTGAGGATCACCAGCTGATCAGTGACCGCCAATACGGTTTTCGTCGGGGTCGATCAGCTGGTGATCTTCTAGTCTACCTGACCCATAGATGGGCGGAGGCAGTAGAGTCCAAGGGGGAGGCGTTGGCCGTTAGTCTGGACATTGCGAAGGCCTTCGATCGGGTTTGGCACAAAGCGCTTCTTTCGAAGCTCCCTTCCTATGGGCTTCCCGAGAAATTGTGCAATTGGATCACCAGCTTCCTTGCAGATCGGAGCATCAAGGTCGTTGTAGACGGTGCATGTTCTGACTACAAGCCTATTAACGCTGGTGTTCCACAAGGCTGTGTGCTATCACCAACGCTGTTTCTTCTGCATATCAATGATATGTTGCTAACTGGTAACATTCATTGCTATGCGGATGACAGCACTGGTGATGCTCTATACACCGGCCGGGCCAATATTTCTCGGGAAAACGTCGCCGAGTACCGGAACAAACTTGTGTCTGAAGTCGAGTCTTTGCTGGACAAAGTCTCGGATTGGGGGCGACTAAATCTAGTCCAGTTTAATCCTCAGAAGACACAAGTTTGCGCGTTTACCGCTAAAAAGAACCCCTTTGTCGTATCTCCTCAGTTTCAAGGCACTCCCCTTCTTGCCTCAGCCAGTATCGGTATCCTCGGAGTCGACATATCGAGTGACGTGCAGTTTCGTGGTCACTTGGAAGAGAAGGCCAAATTGGCCTCTAAAAAGCTTGGCGTGCTCAGCAGAGCGGGACAGTATTTCATGCCAGCACACCGCCTGCAACTTTACAAGGCGCAGGTTCGGCCTCACATGGAATACTGTTCCCATCTCTGGGCAGGGGCTCCCCAGTGCCAGCTCCTTCCACTTGACCGCATCCAGCGCAGAGCGGCTCGAATCGTCGACGACCGAGCCCTTTCCGATCGGCTCGATTCATTGGCACTGCGAAGAGATGTTGCATCTCTTTGCATTTTCTTTCGCATCTACCATGGGGAGTGCTCTGAGGAATTGTTCGGATTAATCCCAGCCGCCAAATTTCATGAACGCACATCGCGGCAGAACTCCCGATACCATCCACACCATCTGGATGATTGGCGGTCCACCACTGTGCGATTTAGAAGATGTTTTCTTCCTCGCACGACTTCCTTGTGGAATCGATTACCATCAGCGATTTTTCCGGACCGATATGACTTAGGGACCTTCAAGAAAAGAGCCTACTCCTTTTTAAAAGGCCGGCAACGCATCTGCAATTCCCCTGGTGTTGCGGTTGTTCATGGGCGGCGGTAGTCACTTACCATCAGGTGAGCCGCATGCTCGTTTGCCCCCTCTCCTATAAAAAAAAAAAAAAAAAAAAAAGCTGTATTGAAGTTGCGTAAATCCCGCCGCATGCATTTGGAGATCTGTCTGTTCAGTTGCCTGTATGCTGTCAAATCTGTTGAAGAATGTAGCTTCATCTCCCGTCTAACAGCCATGAGATTAAACGTGTGATCGGAGAGTTTTTGTGTTCTTCTGCGGCGGGTCTTGCAGAACTTAGCTCCAACCGTATGGACAATTTCCACGAGCTTGTCATTCATATCGTCCACTTTATTGCAGTCTTCTAGGCACTGAAAACGGTTTTGTAACTCGAGCTGAAAGGTTTCGGGACTTTGGAACAGAGCACGAGGGGGACGGAGCGTTGACTTCATTAGACGAGATCTCTCCAACTTAACGTTTAGGTTCAGTGTGCCTCTAACCATTCCACCATTGGTTACTGCAGCTTTTTATTATTTCGTGTCGCTATCAGCAAGATGCTGCTTCCATACCCTGATTCAGTTTCCCTCTGTCACCTCTTACGACACCCACACACGGGTATAAGAGGTAATGGATTTTCCTACACTTCAGTCAATAATAGATGAAAATTTGTTGCTGAATGAAAATGTAAGAAAATAAGAAAATCCAAGAATTGGCCTGAATCTATCAACAAGTAGCTAACTACCTGTGTCCATGTAACCGTATCACGCGGTTTCCAGAGGCGAGGTGCAGTATTAGAATTTGTTGCTGATCAGAAATGACGTCAGATATCCTCAGAAAACTAACAACAAAATAGAAACAAAAAATCCATCGGACTTGGAGACCGGTAGTACCTAACTACCAGTATCCGCGTAATCGTAGAATGCGGTTTTTATAGAGGTGCTACAGTCATTGATTTTGTTGGTGGTCACAAATAACATCAGGTATCCTTAAAAAACCAGCAACAAATTAGAAATAAGAAATCGATCGGACTTGACGACCGGTAGCTAACTACCAGTGTCCATGTAACCATAGCACGCTGTTTCCATAGGACAGACTCAGTTATAGATTTTGTTACTGGTCTGAAATTACATCAGGGATGCAATCAGCAACAAAATAGAAACAAAAAAAACGACTGGATCTGGTAACCATTAGGTATGTACCGGTAACGGTATCGAACCGGCAATCTTTATGTACACTGGTAGACTGCATAGTAAGTAAAGATTGCCGGTTCGATACCAGATGCCCTGAAGGGACTTCTACAGTTCTACAATTTCTACAGTTCAGATTTGAAGGCGGATTCGCATAGATCTCGACGAGATACGCCGAAAAGTAAGAATTTTTATTTCGATATCTCGCTTCGTTTCAGATATATCGATACTCAAAAACCGAATGTCGTAGACGCGGAGGGAGAGCAGCCCCTGCCGGCTGTAACAAATCGCAAGCACATTATACGTGGTGAAGCCATGCTGCACCTATTAGTAGTATAGTTGTAGCACGGATGGGCCGGCTCGAACCGGGGTGGTACCACGACCTCACAGAATACCAGCTTGAAGTAGAAGTTTACCTCTGCGTTTCGCTTGGTGAGTGCAGGTGGCCAGAGGCCCTTTTTACTGGAAATGACCCATCCCATCCGTGCGACAGCAAAAGCTGCCGCGTGACTCTACCACTGTTGGATTATAGCGCATAAATGCGTGCGCAACAAGCCCAGGTGCACTCTGTATTCTCTCACTCTCATAGTCCGTTGGGACGGCATTCCGACACGAGCGCAGAACAATCGAGCACTGGATCTGAACTGGACCTTTCGTACTTTACAGAGACGAAAAACCGCCAATTTTCCGGATGCTACTATGGCTTAAATCACTTACATATATATTTTTAGGATCTGTCCACATTCCAAGTGGACGCAATGGTGAAGTGGCTGAGCTGCAACGGCGAGGTTTGGGGGATGGGCCCCACGGCGGTGTTCGCCAGCGCCGCGGCCCTATTCCTTTACAGCGAGCTTCGGGCGACCATCAGTACGGCTGGCGACCGAGCGCAGCTATCGGTGCTCGAGAAGATACTAGTTGTATGTGCTCGTATAGTATCCTGACGTGTTCTGTGGTAAGATGATCCACCTTACCCCATCTCCTCCTCTGGGTATCGTAAGTTGATTTAAGGGAGTACCTGGTAGATTTTTGACCGAAAACGGCGGTAGAATGTCATAATTTACTTACTTTTAAAGTCAGTGGTAGAAAGCTAAACGCACCCAAGTGGTCTGCGAAGACATTTTATTTATTGTTCTATAAACCTTAAAAATGAACCTTACCGTAATATATATACGGTATGTCTAACAGTTGGTGGTACATGGCAAGCTTGGTCAAATGGTCTTTCATCACTAAACGGTTAAGAACCAACGTTTTATAAATCATAGGTTTAAACACAAAAATATACAACAAATATAGGTCAATAGGAATGTGGCAAAATAAACAGCTTCTTTCTTTTTCTTCTCATAGTCATTGCTAGGTGGAAGGTCCCGTTTTCTGCGTGGTAGTAGGAGTCTGGGTACCACTTGCCACTCTCTTACCTAGTTAAATAGGTGTGCTTTCAATACAGTGTTGCGATCTGAAGGGTATAGGGAGTTAATTTGACTACAGGCTGCGACGCATTCCCATCTTGGTCGTCAGTGGTGACTACGCATCAATAGCCTTCTTTCTTTGAAGTTGGCGACAGGTACCGATGGACTGCAGCAGCCACTTACCATGCGGTGGACTCTAAGTTCATTTGTCATTTCAGTCTAATAAAAAAAAAACATAATTGCAGCCCATTAAAACTCTACTGCTGAATTAAAGCCACCAAAGGCCGCCACTAATCCCGCTTCTTTCGACCCTACATTGCATTTGCCTGTAACAGGCTGCGTAAACTCTCCTTTCAATTTTTACTTACGTTGACGAAAAGGCAATTACACAAATAAATCTCCAAAAAATCTTCAACACTGCATGTATCTGATATGAAAATTGAGACGTCTGGTTTGAAATCGCAAATCTGTTATTTTGCTGACGGATATCCTTACTTTAGTCATTCTACTATAGATTTTTTTATAGAAGAAGGGTGACAAACGAGTATACAAACCACCTGATGGTAAGTGGATGCTGAAGCCCTCTATCATCTATCTTCGATTAAGAATCAAAATGCAGACGCGTTGTTACCCCTGAGGTCTAAGATGGAATACCTCGTTTCTAGTAAATAGGGTCTCTGTTTCTGGCAAGTGGATGCTGAGGCTCTCTATCATCTATCTTCGATTATGAATCAAAATGCAGACGCATTGTCACCCCTAAGGTCTAAGATAGAATACCTCGTTTCCAGTAAATAGGGTCTCTAGTTCTCTACACTCACCCACCATACGAAGCAAAGCAGAATTATGCTGTTATTTTACGCTGGTATTCTGTCAGAGCGCGGTCCTTCCCGGGTCTAGCCGACCCATTCGATTAATATAGCTGCAGCATGGCTCTACCACGTAGAAAATAATACCAAATATTAATGATAAAATAATATCAAATAACAATCATTTTAAAGACCTCTTGCTTATCTCTTGCGCGGTTACTTAAATCATCCTTCACATTGTCACCATAATATATTGCATGTTGCAGTCGACGATGGTGGTGGGAATGCTGGCACTGATGGTACACCTGTGGGTGTGTTCCATGCGATTTTTCCTGTACTATTTGGACACTTTAATTAGAGACGTAAGTATTTGTATCGGTTCATAAAGTATTTGCTAGAAAAATCTCGTTGCTCTAGTGATCGTAAGCGCGACTGTTCAACTTGTAAAAATAAGTTACTGATAGGTTGATAGAACATATCAAGAAATTCAATCATGTTGCCCATTGCTACTAAAAACTAGCTTAACAAAATATTAACATTTTAAGCTTTAAAAAAAAACGTTTTATAAATAGATATTACTTGTAGCGTGCAGGTTACTAAACGTTGAGACATTTAGAGGTAAAAAAAACGAAATATAAAAAACCGCTCTTGTCTACCCGCCTGCCAAGTGTGGCAACTATGCGTGCAACCCTCCCCCCCCCCCATATGAAGAAAAATATGGGGAAGACCTGTGTTCCGCAGTGAATTTTGGCAGGCTGTAATAAATGAATCGATTACAGGGAAGGCATTATGAATTAGATACGAATACAACGATTTCATTGCAGAGTCCCAGTGTCCTCCTAGAGATGACAACGGTGGGTATTTTAGGAGGGCAGACGGAGCTGATACCTCTGGGTCCGCTGACACGTTTCCTCCGTCATCAGCAGCCGCAGATCCACATAACAGTCTGTTGGTTCTTGTCGCTGTGCTACGCAGACTACATCAGAAAGCATTACTGTCGAAGATTCAACGTGCCGTATTTGGAACAGTGGTGTGTATAAAAATACTTCACTTGTGATAGTGGTAGCAGACCGTCGGGGTTGATAACACCGTCTGACTTCTTTTGCCGGTAACATTGTATTAGCATTGTTGGTTTCCAGTTCAGAGAGTAAGGAGTCCGGAGTAGCAGACTGTAAGGTATCTCTCATGTTTTCCATTATGTTTCTTTAGTATGTAACAATCTACGTATGTAAACAAAATTATAAGCTATGCTGATTTTATACCGTTGTCAAATTGTTCATTTTTAAACACTATTTTGCTATTTAGCTTTACACACTCTTTATTATTTATTTTACTATATTTTATGCATTTATAAGTAAGCTAAAGTGGCAATAGGCCGGCCGTATAGCTCGAATAACCGACAACCGATGGGAAAAGAAAGGTTCTCGAGTCCAGCCTCGTGCCGGTAGGCGAAGTGTAGGGCGGCACCCTACTAAATGGAGTGACGAGCTGGTTAGACATACAGGGAAGTAGATGGATGCAGGTGGCTCAGGACCGTGCTTTGTGGCATGCTCTTGGTAGGGCTATGTTCAGCAATATGATGATATTGTCATAATATATATTTTTATTTGTACATCCCAACCAGACGAGAATACTAAATTTATACCACATAGTGAGAATGTCCTCCAGACTGAATTGAAGCCACGGCGCGGCGGTCAGTGTAAAAAAAGTGAAAGCATTTGCATAGAACAGGAACATAGTGCATGTGTGACTCTCTCTTCTCTTTCATTCATTTACTCTCATATTCGGATAAGATGATAATACTACACGGTCAGAAAGGGAGATCAGCCGCAAGCTGAACTTTACGTTTCTTTGCTGTTTAACCCAGGTTTACGTGCTTTCCGAGGCGCGGGGGTGAAACAACGCCAACTTCATGATTCTGGGCTGCTACTGAAACTTTCTTTACAGAGAAACCCGATAACTCATTCTTGGACTGACCTAGGATTCGAACCCTAAATTGTATAATAAATTATTTTATATTTCAAAATCAGGCAGGCAGAACTACAAGCACGCACAGCACGGGGAGTAAACAGGACCATAGAGAATGTGCAAAGTTTCGTAGCGGCCGTTCAGCAGCGCCTACGCGGCTACGAAACACACCCGCCGCCTAATGACATCGTCGCCCCAACGTAATTATGCTTTTTTTGTGAACGTTATTTTATTGCGTTTATATTCTTAGCAAAGTAGACAGCTTTCTTCCAGCTACTACATTTAAATAAAACTTATTCCTTAATTTTTACTTCTTTTTTTCTTTTCTGGGAAAACTGGGGTGTTTGACATCCTGACCTCCGATTTAATAGCTTTGAGTAATTACTTTTTGGTGTAATCCACGCAGGCGAGGCGCTCAACGAACAAGCTTACAATATCTTGAAGTTTTGCAGTGGTATGCTTACGTTAGGAATTAATTAATTCCAAATCGATGCATATGTACTTCTGCTACTTCGAAGTAAAACTAAAAAGTTACAGCCTATATAAATCCCACATCTGGACACAGGCCACCATTTATGAGAACATATATATATTCAATAGGCACATTACCATGTGGTGGCAGTGTAAGGTTATCCACTACCCCATATCATACCGTGGGTGTCGTAAGAGGCGACAGAGGGAAACAAACCAGGAGCTGGGTGGCAGCGTTTTCCTAATAACAACTGAAAAATAATAAAACTACTGTTGCCAACTCGTCTGCCAAGCATGGCAAACGTCTGGCAACTATGGCAAATATTCCTCCTATAAGCCAATTTACGGGGGAGGCCTTGGTTCAGTAGTGGACTTTGAACGGCTGTGACAGTAAACAAGCACTTAAAATTGTAATGAACAATTTCATTATCATATAAATAATCCACTAATCGTATCTTTAGGCAATCTGTTATTTCCTAGAGTGAGAGCATGCAGTCCAAGAGAGCAGCGTCTTCAATGGATCTCAGAGCGATGGCGGACCAGTTCACGAGTCAGTCTCGATGCGACGGGCGAGCCAGCGACTCGGTTCTTATCTGCAAAAAGTCTTACACCGCTCACTCTAACTTCAACTATCAAACTAGAGACTCAACTACAGATGCAATCGAGAAACTTCGGAAGTTCATTAATGTACGTACACAAACTGGAATTTCATTGATGTATCGTGTAGTGGCGGTGTAAGAATATCCACTACCCCATACCGTGGGTGTAGTAAGAGGCGACAGAGGAAAACAAATCAGGAGATGAGCAGCAGCGTCTTCCTAATAACGACTAAAAATAAAAAGCTGCGGTTGCCAGTCCGCTTGCCAAGCGTGGCAACTATAGCAAATATTACTTTAATAGGCTGTCACGGAACGTATATAAGCACAAAGTACATGGGCGACCGAATTCTGCTTGGCGTAAGAAAAAAATAATTATCATAGAATGAAACCCATCTATATTATGAAAACTAGCTGTGCCCGCGGCGTAGCTCGCGTATACAGGTTTTACATAAAGAATTTGTCGTTTAGGTAAGAGAATATTAAACGATTTATTTCATTACTGTATCAATAAGTGGTAACAAAATAAATCATTATCATCAAAGTTCTAAGTCGTTTATGAGAGAGCTTCTGTGTAAACGACGTTAGAAGTAGGCTTAGCCGGGGTATACACAAAAAGGTTACGGGGGCTACTAACGCGGGAAAAAGCAACATAGAGTTGGCCATGTGCAAAACAGTCAGTACTGAGGTACACTCCTACAACGCGTAAAGTTTGACCTTGCGCTTTATTTACGGTCATCGCATAACACACGCTCACTGTAACTGGGAACTGAACGCGCTTAAAACTGAAAGGAAAGTTACTTCTTAATAGAGGGTTTTTGGGCAGTGCTGCCAGATAAAAAAAAACTCATTCAGCTCTAGGACAACACAAAAAGCGTTAGATTTCATGAAAACAGCGCTTTAAAAAAGCTCTAGATTTCGCGCTAAATTAACTACAAACAAAGTTTGTGTTTTTTTATAAAATCATAATAAAGAAAACAACATTAAGTTTTTTTTCTGGCAATATTTTTTTGATGTATCAATACTTCGCAGGACATCGACTTATAATTATGGCAATTGCTGTCAATAGTAGTTAGTACTGTACGAACAATAAAAATGTCATTAATTGTTTTAAAGTGCAATGTATTTCGCAACTTAGTTTCAGATGTCAGCATCTGATTGCGGTTGCTACACAGTTTCTTTGTGTTATAACTTCTAAGTAACTTTTAACTTAGCTGTGCTCTAAGCAACTGACTGAAACTGAATAAAGCAAAATAAATGCGTTGCCAAAACCATGAACGGAAACTTTAATAAAGGGGATTTCCCCGCTTATAGTCGTCGGTAAAAAAATCAAGTTGATCATCCTAAAGGGGAAGCCAGGAGATCCATAGCACAGGGTATCCTAGTTTGGACTCGTCTCCCATGCTCTTTGTTTTGTGGAAAAAATATGTTTGAAAAAGATAAACTGCAATGTACTATTTGTGGGAAAAAATAATAAAGGTCATTATTATTATTATCGGTAATGTGAACTAACAGTGCTGCTATAAAAGAGTTAATAACCCGCTAGTCGCTAAAATATTGAAATGTGTGCTAAATACACCAAAAAGGCGCTGGATTAAGCTAGGTGCTAAAATTTCGAAATGCGCGCTATACATTCCAAAAAAGCGCTAAATCTAGTTCCCAAAGCGCTAAAATGGCAGTACTGATTTTGCGTATATTATAAATACAATATCACGACATTTCGTTGCAAAATATTTATTTTTGGTCGGGTTCCGTTGTATGGCTTCGATGGATACAAATTTCTTCAGTAAGTCTCAATACGATTCATCGGCGAAAAATCTCAACACAGCAATTCAGAAAAGTTTGTAATTTGTGCAACTCCATCTATTACGTCCTTTGTGTGAGGAAACATCCTTTTTAAATCTCTTTTTGTGTTTTAAGTATAAATATATTAATTATTATGGAACGTTTTTTTTACACACAAATCTTTTTATTACTATTTCTGAGATTTTATGGCGCCATTGAACAAATTCGAACCTACATTTCAAAATAATAATCATTACTTTCAATAGAATTAACCAATTTTAATAAAACAAAGATTAAATGTAACTCGAAGATACGCTTTATGATTTTCTTAACGATTTCTTTGAAAATAAAAGATGTTTACTTTAGACGTGATGCGTTCATATAATAACAGACAAATAGACAGACAGACAATTCTAAAAATTATAAAATGTTCTTATTTAATTATTTTCAGTTCCCCATAATGATTTTAGCTACCAAAATATATATACAATGTACAGAAAGAGACACAACATGTTATCATCATTTTTATTATATGATGTATATATTTAAAGAGAGATGGCGCTGCTAACATCAATTCTAAAAATAAAAGAGATTAATTGACGCGATTGATACATTATATAAAACGCAAGAGAACTTATAAATCAGTGCCTGCACAGTAAGCAAAAAATAAAGTTTGACTCTCGCCAAAACCAACGCAATTGTTAATAGCTCTTTTAAAATTTGATTTACCACATAGAGTACTTGGCGGTAAAGAATAAATTGAGTTTGTCAACACGCAGTAGGGCAGCGAGTAATATAATAAAGATTAGCAGTAAATATGAAAACTCATCTACAGGAAAAAACCACATTGTTACATTTTCACTACACCACCATCTATCGAAGAAATGGGTTAACTATTGTGCTTCATATTTAGTTAATAAGGTTTAATATATTTTTGTATAATATATTTAATACGTTCTTTAATACTTTTGTTTACTGCATTTTAGATATACATAATTATATCATTATTTTACATAATTTAACTATGATTTATGATATGATATTAGTTTAAAATGCACTTGATGACTCAAACAAAGCCACCGTTGAGCAAATTCGTACCTATACTTCCCTACCCATACTTCAGAATATTTATCATAACTTTTGATGGAATGAACTGATTTTAATGAAATAAAGACTAAATGTAACCCGAAGATACACTTTATAATTTCCTTAACAATTCTTATGATATAAATTAGTACTTTATACGTGATACGTTAACAAACAAACAGACAGACAGACAGACAGACAGAAAATTCTAAAAATGGTAGAAATGTATTTAATTACTTATTTTTAGTACCCCTCAATCACTTTTATTACAAAAATATAAAATGTACAGACATCTGCTATTTACAGTTTTATTATATGTATAGATAAAACATTATCGAAATACATAATTTAAAATTAAAAATTTTGTACAGCCGACTTCAGTATAAGTTATTTAAGAATAACTTAAAAACTATTGGTCTGACCTTGATCAAATTCATATGGGACCACACGAGAAGTACCAGCTTTAAAATAAAAAAAGAATCATCGAAATCGGTTCACCCAGAAAAAAGTTCTGAGGTAACACACATAAAAAAAAACGAAAAAAAAAAAAACATAGTCGAATTGAGTACCGGCTCCTTTTTGGAAGTGGCAGAAAATGTTATACAAATCGATAGAGCCGTTTCTGATAAACCAATTACATACATTCTTCTCTTTATTTTTAGGAGAAGGGGCAAACGAGCATGCGGCTCACCTGATGGTGACTACCGCCGCCCATGAACAACTGCAACACCAGGGGAATTGTAGATGCGTTGCAGGCCTTTTAAAAAGGATTAGGCTCTTTTCTTGAAGGTCCCTAAGTCGTATCGGTCCGGAAAAATCGCTGGTGGTAATCGATTCCACAAGGAAGTTGTGCAAGGGAGAAAAATTCTTCTAAATCGCACAGTGGTGGACCGACAATCATCCAGATAGTACGGATGGTATCGCGAGTTTTGTCGCGATGTGCGATAGTGAAATTGAGCGGCTGGAATTAATCCAAACAATTCTTCAGATCACATCCTAACGCACATTCATTTACTTATATTTCCAATTCGCACATAAAATGTCTTAGCCTTATGCACTTTTTTTAACTGCTTAAGACTTACGCTCGCATGCTACTATTTGTCATTTCTATTTTTGTCACCCGTTTCAAAGGTCTTCTTTATAACATTAGAGTGGTCAACTGTCAATCATTTCACCTGAACATCTATAAATTTACAATTAACTGAGACACGCTACAGAATTTTTCACTCCTGAATACGCAGATGGAATGGCTCACAGCTGGTAATCGTACTAGCTATGTTTCTTTTCAAACCGCAAACAGGAACGTGGCAGTGAATAAATATACTACTGCTTGACAGCAGTAATAGTTAAAAGGATGGTACGCTGGTACCCGAAAGACTTTTAAAGGATCCTTCCCTAGAAATTGCCTGCATTAGAAATTTACATAATGTTCACTAAAAGCCAACACGAACTGTCGGATAGCACAGAACTCATTTATTATGGACTAAAGAGTTGTTATAGTCTTAATAGGTTTTTTTCTAGCGAACCGCCCCGGCTTCGCACGGGTGATTTCTGAATCTCGACAACAGCGCCACCTACCGAGTCCAATTGTGAATCGTTTAGATCATCCAGAGATCCACTCAAACATACACAAAACATTTCATCAAAAATTTTATCAAAATCGGTCCGTTTTCGAGTTTTTGCGAGACTAACGGAAGACAAATAATTTATATATATATATATATATATATATATATATATATATATGGATAATTGTGTGGTCAATCCATCCTTTTTTTTACAGAATTAGGGTGACAAACGAGCACAGAGTCCACCCGATGGTAAGTGGATACTGTGGCTCAATAGATATCTTCATTTATCCTCAATAATAAATTAAAATGCAGATGCGTTTTCACACCTGAGGACTAAGATAGAATGCCTCGTATTCAGTAATAAATAATTATAGAATTGTGCTCTCTAAAGGCAGCGTAAGAATATCCACTAACCGTAAGAGGCGACAGATGGAAATAAAACAGAAGATAGCCAGCAGCATCTTACTGATAACAATACAAAATAATAAAAAACTGCGGTTGCCAACACAGCCGCTAAGGATGGCAACAATGGCTAATTCCCCCTATAAGGAAATCTATGGGGTAGGACTATGTTTAGCGGTGGAATTTTTGATAGGCTGTATGTAATTAATGAATGAATGATGGATATATTATACAGTTTAAGAGTGTACAGAATAAGGGTGACAAACGAGCACATAGTCCACCCGATGTTAAGTGGGTGCTGTGGCCCATAGACATCTACATTTATCCTCGATTAAAAATCAAAATACGGATGCGTTGTCATCTCAGAGGACTCAAATGCTCGAAAAGAATGCCTCATTTCCAGTAAAAAGGTTCTTCTGTTCTCTACACTCACCACACGAAAGTACATAATAAGTATGTTAAGTAATTATGGTATTATTAAGTAAATTATTAAATTAATATAATATGACAAAATGTTTTTATTTCATGTCTAGGCGACCAGATGCTCGTGCAATCCAAAGAACGCAGACTTGCTCCCAGTCACCCAAAACGCTATCATACAAGACGTACAGACGGAGTAGTTTCAGATTTATTTACTTACATTTGAAATAAACTGCAATAAATGTTCTTTGAAAATTAAATTTCTTACATTATTTTATTCCTATTATTTTCTTTATTCCTCAGTTCCCATCGATGATGTTCTGTTTATTATAATAGTGACAAAATTATTATTATAAAAGCAAACAAATATGACATGAACATGACTTTTGTAATTCATTACAGCCTGTAGTCCACTGCTATTTAGCTTAGTTGCCAATTTGACAGACGGGTTGGCAACCATTTTTTTATTATCTAGTTGTTATAAGAAAACGCTTTTGGTTTTCTCTGACCTTAAGTCTTGGTCCCGTTGGTAAGTAGAAATTACAAAAATTTTACGTGGTAGAGCCATCCTGCAGCTATACTTCTGGTATAGTTGTAGCACAAATGGGTCGGCTCGACCGGGGAAGGACCACGCTCTCACAGAATACCACCGTAAAATAGCAGCTTGATGCAGCTGTGTTTCGTATGGTGAGTGTAGAGAACCGGAGACCCTTTTTGCTGGAAACGAGGTATTCCATCTTAGTCGTTACGGGTGACAACGCATCTGCATTTTGATTCGTAATCGAGGATAAATGTAGATGTCTATGGGCCACAGAAACCACTTACCATCAAGTGGACTGTGTGCTCGTTTGTCACCCTTATCCTATAAAAAAAAATGTTTGACATTATGTAGCTTTAAGGTCACAGCTCATTAGAGCCACCCGGCACACGACCCTCACCGCCTCGCCTCGAGCGGTTCGTATTCTGCGTATGGATTTGTATGGGCCTGCGCTCACTACATCAACTCCGTACCATCACCGGATCGCCTCGCTCGCAAGGTGTTCACGCGCGGACTGCGAGTGCACCACTCGATGATAGCTCGCTATTGGCATGCTTGCCTCGCGTGAAGCGCGAGCTGGCAACTCGCGGTTCACACGAGTGCGATGCAGCGATCTCCACCAACCTATTCATCATCATCAAGACTGACAGCTATGAGGGCCAATGCACACCTAGGCCCAAACGCTGGTAGACTACTCGGAAATTCGTTGGTCGCGCGAGGGTCACTCGTTGACCACGCGAGGTTCACTAGTGACAACGCGGCGTCCACCCGTGATCCACCTGTCGACTACAAGTGGACGCCTGGCGACGAGGCGGTGAGGGTCGGGTGCCGGGTGGCTCTAATGAGCTGTGATCTTTAGTACTCAACATTTGGGTAACTCAAGTCCGCTTACCGACGTGAGACTGCCACTCTACCTTTCGTCGCCATATTTCTTTTCATATGAGTAATTGCTTCGAGTCTGAATATTTGTCCATATGCAATTTATAAGTATCTGTCAAACAGTGTGTGTGTGCCAGTGAAGACATATAGATCTGAGACGTGTTCTATAAAGGTCGCTTAACAAACTATAGCGAGGGCGAGGGTAACTTCTCTGCGTGATAGAATCAGAAATGAAAAAGATTTCAGTACTCACACACAGTAGAACCCGGGTAACCGACATAGCCCAACGGATCAGTAAGCTGAAGTGGTAATGGACCGGCCATATACCTACTCGTGGCTCGAATAATTGATATTCGATGGAGAAGAAAGGTCCTCGAGTGGCATTGGTTGCAGATGTTTTGTGACATTTATTATAATATAATATATAATAATATAATATTCCACAACTATCAAACAACGCCATCTAGTCCCAAGCTAAGCAGAGCTTGTGTTATGGGTACTAGACAACTGATAAACATACTTATATATTTCTAAATACATAAATATTATAGATAAATTACACCCAGACACAGAACAAATGATCGTGCTCATCACACAAACATTCGTCCTGGGTGGGAATCGAACCCACGACCTCCGGCGTAGCAGTCAGGGTCACTAACCACTAGACCAAGAGGCCAGTCAAGTTATTTCAGTCAGTTTATTGGAGGTGGCCTATGTTCAACAGTGGACTTGTTAAGGACTATTATGGATGAACGGATGGTGTAACAAAATATAGAAGTAATGTGATGCTACGAAAAGAGGATACAAATTAAAAAGGGATAAATAGAAGTGTGCTCGAAGATCACTAAAAAGCAGTCGTTTGAATAATATAAATTACAGTGCAACTAGCTTCATTCATCGGGAATTCTATCTATAAGAAGTTCTAACGTAGTTCAATCGGTATAATATAGTGATTGTCGTGGCAACAAAAATATCGTGTCGGTTTGCCTACATACTTCCTTGACGTGAGATACAAACGTAAACGGCGACAAAGATACAAACCAGGAGTTGGGCAGCAAAGACTTCCTAATAACAACTCGAAATTTTAAAACAAAACTGCGGTAGCCAAGCCCTTTTCCAAGTGTGGCAACTTTATTAACGGCCTTATGGGGTAATCTATGGGGACTCCTGTGTTCAATAGTGGATTAGGCTGTGATGATGTCGATGAGGACTGTGTTGGTGTTATCTTGTAATTATGCATCACGTTACGTTGTAAACGAAACGTAGGTATTCTTATTGTAAAGTGCACTCTTACACTATTTTAAATATGTCTCTTACATTTTTAGACGTTTAAAATAGGTATCTGTTTAAAATAAAAGGGTAACCAAAGAACTTGTTAGGTTTATAGGGAAATTTCACAGTAGAATTACACAACTTTTAACAATAACTTTAAAGAAATCAAAGAGTAAGTATATTTGGAGTATATAATCTAATCACTACATTATGACTACATTTGGTAGCCCAGATTCAAATTCCGCACAAAACTAGTATTTGTATGGCCTGCAAATAATTGTCTCGGGTCTGGATGTTGGTCCTTGTGAAATTATGTGTGTAAAATGCCCCCACGATACACGAGAAAATCTAGTGTGGACTTAACGGTTTAAAAAAATATCGTTGTACGGAATATTCATTCCTTGGGCCAAAGAGTATATAATCACTGCGTTTTACCTTAGACACGTAGTGATTATATACCTATTCTTTGGGGTAGACGAAATCCTGTCTATGGACGAAGTTCAATCAATCTTTGACGTAGTTTGTCAATTTTTGATGTAAACTAGAAAGTATGTAAACATGCAATTAAAAATTAACTCCACTTTACATTTATGACATCTTTCTTCCAAATTATGAGAGAGTGGAACAATCTGTTAGCGTTAATAATTTGTGATGTGGAAACACTCTTTATGGAAATTCCTTTTGAATGAAGGTTACGAGGTCTGTTGTTAGTTTTCTCGAATTGACATGAAATAGCACTTAAATATATGCAAAGAATCAAATAACGACCAAATGAGCCGTGCATACAGTCTATGAATGCAGGTGATTCGTATCTGTAGTTTTGATAACTTCTGGGGCAAGCTCATGTTCAGCGTTTCGCGGATACCATGGTGGCATATGACTTATATCTGAGTATTAGAAATTGCAATCAAACTTATTCTCAGAGTTGTTATAGATTTTAATGACTCTAACCCATGTAACAACATAAACTTTAATAAAAATTAAAAGCATACTTCAAAGAACTTATAAGGACAAAATAATATCTACAATAGCTTCTGAAGCTGGAGCTAAGGCAGTGTTTTTAACTCTGTTGAGGGGACTAAACAATATCTATAGGTAATATATTTGACAGTTTTGTGGCCGTGCAAGAATATCTACTACGGTGTCGTAAAAGGCGACAGAGGAAAGAAACGAGATAAACAACAGCGTTTTATTAATACCTACAATAAGTAAAAAAGGAATAAGAAGAAAACAATATGTAGCTATAGTAGGTACCCCAAACTAAAACTAAATTTGCTCGTAGGTACACAATACAATAGTCGTTCGGCGCAAATTATAATAAAATCAATGAAGAATTAGACATTTACTCGAAACAATATATGCATGTAAAAGGAGGTACATCATTGATTAGAGTCACTTAATTATGAGAACACCGAGTTCGTTTTACATTTTTTTTATAGGAGAGGGGGCAAACGAACATGCGGTTCACCAGATGGTAAGGCTCTCTACGTGGTAGTGCCATGCTGCAGCTATTAGTAGTATAGTTGTAGCACGAATGGGTCGGCTCGACCGGGGAAGGATCACGCTCTCACAGAAAACCAGCGTAAAATAGCAGCTTAACGCTGCTGTGTTTCTTATGGTGAGTGTAGAGAACCGGAGACCCTTTTTACTGGCAAAGAGGCATTCCATCTTAATCCTCACGGGTGACAACGCATCTGCATCTTGAGTCTTTATTGAGGATAGATGTAGATGTCTATGGGTCACAGTAACCACTTACCATCAGGTAGACTGTGTGCTCGTTTGTCACCCGATCCTATAAAAAAAAGTGACTACCGCCGCCCATGAACAACCGCAACACCAGGGGAGTTGCAGATGCGTTGCCGGCCTTTTAAAAAAGAGTAGGCTCTTTTCTTGAAGGTCCCTAAGTCGTATCGGTACGGAAAAATCGCTGGTGGTAAACTATTCCACAAGGAAGTTGTGCGAGGAAGAAAACATCTTCTAAATCGCACAGTGGTGGACCGCCAATCATCCAGATGGTGTGGATGGTATCGGGAGTTCTGCCGCGATGTGCGTTCGTGAAATTTGGCGGCTGGGATTAATCTGAACAATTCCTCAGAGCACTCCCCATGGTAAATGCGAAAGAAAATGCAAAGAGATGCAACATCTCTTCGCAGTGCCAATGAGTCGAGCCGATCGGAAAGGACTCGGTCGTCGACGATTCGTGCCGCTCTGCGCTGGATGCGGTCAAGTGGAAGGAGCTGGCACTGGGGAGCCCCAGGCCAGAGATGGGAACAGTATTCCATGTGAGGCCGAACCTGCGCCTAAAAAAACATCAAGTAAAATAGTACACACGCACACGCACACGCACGTTCGCACGTACGCACGCACGCATGCACATGCATGAACGCACGAATATCATAAACAGTGAAAAAACTGTATATTCTGTCTTTTAGTCTTGAAATTATTCTTTGTAATACCCATAGTTATAGATATAGATATGAGATAGCGGAGTCATCAACTAATAATAATAAAACCCACCTGACAAGCGTGGCAAGTATGGCAAATACGGGCAAATATATGAGGCACTCTACGTGGGAGGCCTATATTCGGCAGTACTTTTGATACGATACACGGTAACGGTAAAGAAATTCGCAAGCACAAGGTCGTCCCATCTTATATTTCCCATCCTTAGGGGTGGAAAATAAACTATTCAATAAAAAAATCATTAATATCCCTTCACAATTGACGAAAATATCGCGTAACATACATCCCAAAAGCACAGTTGGTATTTGAGAACCTCCCACTTTTTTACAGTCGGATAATAACAACGGTATCATATTGACATCTATCTAGGCAACGCCTGATCGTGATTTTTTTCTGATATCTAGGTACTTTAGTCTCCCTTATCCTATAACAACACCCACAGTACCTCAGCCCCAGCTTTATTTCAACACCTTCATATAACGGGATTCGTTATTTGCAGATCATCGAATGGGCGAAATGCGGAGACGGTTATCTATCGACGGTACCCACGCTGCTGTGGACGTTTGGCGCCTCGGCATTTGCGCATCGTCTGATCACCTGCATGTTTCGCCGGTTTGTGTTTAGAAGAGTGACGCTATGGGAACGGATTGTTCAAGTACGTATTAAAAGGTTTTAATAAAAAAAAATTAAAAAGGTTAAACGAAGAACCCATCAGCGTAGAAGCCTTCGCTTGGACTCTATTTTAAACCTAGAGCCTTTTGCTGAACAAAGGCATTATGTGTATCGTTTTAATGTCAAGTTTATAGACTATAAATCTGATATCAATGCACCTGTTTTAAGATTATTTTATTATCACATACGCCGCTTGTAATTGAGATTGGCGTTTGGAAGTTTTTTTTTTATATAAAACTGACGTCATGGAAAATGGCTACTATAGTACAAACAAAAAAATTACAGCTGCGTTGTCAGTTGTCACCTCCGAAAACGAACATGGATTGCAACACAGCATAATACTGGCTATAAAGGGTATGATAGAGCCAATATAATAACAGGCTGCTGTAAGTAGACATTTCGCCTCAGTCCTCAGAGTTAACAACACATCTGGAGCCTTCTTTTGTTTGAAGTTGGTTGCAGATGTTCATGGACTGCAATAATAACTTACCATAAAAGTAGACTATAACTACATTTATCACTTCTGTTTTATAAAAAAAAAATTAATAATGCGTCATTTAACTGATAATTTTACGTTGATTCGTAGAACCTCCTGTTCATCTGGATGGTGATGTACAGCCTCCAGTTCTGGAACGTCTTAGTGAGCCTTGTAAAGGACTTAGTCGAGTACTACGACGATGTAAGATGAAATTCAATATTATGTATATTAGTAATATAATTAAGAAGACTTCAGTCGCAGATTAATTAATAAATAATGTCCTACAGACCGAATTTCGGTCACGACGGCCAATCTTAACGGAGACTAGGCATATATACAGGACAGGATTATAATGCACGGTTGTGTGCGCATACTTAAGGTACACTTTCTATTCTCACACTCTCTTAGACCGATGGGACGGAAATCCAACACGAAAATCTACGTGATTTCCGAGGCGCAGGGGTGAATCATTGACTACTTCCTTACTCCGTACTACTGAGAATTTCTAGACAGAAAAATCTAATAACAGACTTTGTCCCAACCCAGGATTGGAACACGGGGCCACATGAAAGCAATCGCGCTTACGACCACTAGATCAACGAAGCCGTCATAGTCACAGATGCCGCAAATTAATTATTGTAACATTAAATAACAAGTTTTCTAAATCTTGCTATGATACATCTATGATATAATGATGCTAAGTGTCCACCCAGTGAAGGCTAGAAACATCTGCAATACCTACTGGAACAGGAAATGGAAGTCTTTTTTTATAGAATAAGCGTGACAAGCGAGAACACAGTCCACCAGATGGTAAGTGGTTGCTGTGGCCCATAGACATTTACATCTACTTATCTTCGTTTGCGAATTAAAATGCAGATACGTTGTCAGCCGTGAGGACTAAGATGGAATGCTTCTTTTCCAGTAAAACGGATCTCCGGTTCTCTACACTCACCATACGAAACACAGCAGCATGGCTCTACCACGTATAAAATAGCTTCCTTCAAAGGTTATTCCATAGGTTGAATATTTGCCATAACCATAGGCCATTTTTGTGTTCATTGCGGCTTCAGGCTGCCCTTTAATGTTCAAGGAGTCCTTGTCGCGTGCATTGTAATCGTACCAATGGCTGGAAGCTCCAAATCAATTTATTTTACGTGAATAATCAAATTCGATTTCCGGCCTACTACTTCACTATATTAAAATTGTTACGTGCTAATTTAAAATATCGCCGGATGTTCTGAATAATAAATCGCTGTGCAGTGACAGCGTAATCCACTACCCCATATCATTCCGTGGGTAACGGTGACCGACGGTAAGAGGCCACGTAGGAAAAATAAAACAGGAGATGGGCATGTTGCTGCACCAGCATCAACTTAAATATAAAAAAAACTGAGATTTCCAGCCCGCCTGCCAAGGGTGGCAGCTATGGCAAAATCTATGAGGCAATCAATGGGGGAGACCTATGTTCAACAGTGGACTTTTGATAGGCAGTAATAAATGAAATAATTGACACTATTTTATCAACAGATTTAACTAATCTTACCACCATTCATTACTTTGTACCAAATCGAATTTTAAAAAAATTTACTCAAATTGTATATGTAATTTGTTTAATTAAAAAATATTGACATAATAATAAGGAGAAAGTTATCCATCATAAAATTTAGATTGACTGGCTACACATTACCCACGCAAATAATCAAACAAAGAAGAAATTATAAATACATCAAAACAATTTACATTTAAAACGGGGTAACAACCTTCCTTCAACAGTTATATAAATGAGAGAAATTTCGTGTTTGTTTTTATTTTATATAGTCTTAATAAATGAACAAAATATTATTGTAAGTCATTCTTTAAGCGTATAATTTTTTCAAAATAAACAACCAACTTTTACGCACCTCACAAATCGAATGGTAACGTATCATTGCACGGTATGCTGCGGCGTCATCTCGGCATGCCAAAGGACGAATGGTTGAGCGTCAATCGGCATTTTATTTAATACTTCGCCGTGATATGCCGTGTCCCGTTGTAGAGCACTGGTCTTTGTTTTCCAAACAGATTACATTTCAAAGAAACTATCCTTTCCAAAACATAATGATATTCGATTATCATTATCAAATCAGTTTATATTAAAATAGATCTTTTACAGGGCGCCACGATATTGAACGACGAGAACTTGACTCGCCAAATTTCAATGCAACAGTGGTTAATCTGGCTGTGCGGGGCTGCACCTATGGCGATATACATATACACAAAGCCGCGACCTTCCTCGCCGCCCATTATGATATGGTGATTGCTTGAAATTTAGTTTTGTCTGTAGTAATAAACGGCTTACAAAACAAACTACTGAGCGTGCGCGTCACGGAAACGATAATAAAGTTGACAAGAGCGAGTTATTTCTCGAACATGCCGGTTTCAACATAATCCGCCATTAACCAGACTGCGCGACGCAAAGGACGGTAATGTGTTTATCAACCTATATATATATATATATATATATATATATATATATATGTTTGTTCCTTTACGGCGTTCTAGAGACAATACGCGTGGGCCGATTTTCATGATTCTTACATCAATCGATTAGCTTCAATCTTGTGTCATTAAAGACATGACAGTAATCAAAATTCAATATGGCGACTACCAGACGCCATATTCAAGACGAACCATGTCAAGTGTGGTATCATTGAATAGGTCTTTGAAAATCATCTTCAGTTTAATCTAATAATATTTCATTTTGAATGACCATCTATCACTTAAATTTTCAAAACTTATAACATTATTAACTTTAAGGTCTTATTAACGTGAAAAATAATTATTAACTTTTCAGTAAATTTACTGTCGGGTTTTTTTAAATTAATGTTTTAACCATTAAGCTTGTTTATAAAACAAGTGACAAACGAAATTACAGTCCACCTGGTGGTAATTGTTTGAAACTGACTGTTGTGTCCATGTACTGCAGTAGCCAACCGCCAACAAAGAAGGCTACATATGCGTTGTCCCCTCTGAGGACTAAGATGGAATTCCCCAGTCTGTAATTATAGTTAGAGTTACTTCTTAATACTAAGAAAATACACCTATTTGCGATTTTCGGCACATAAGCGCACAGGACAAACGCTGACAGTATACTAACTAAAGCCACGCCCACTGTGATGACATCAGGACCTAGTTAGAATCACAGTTGCTTAGGCCGTCTCCTCTTTGTATTTGCTCCGTGATATTCACGGTCACAGGCACCGCCGCTACTACCATATCGTTGTTATTACAGGTGTTGGTAAATACCAATAATGCGCAATCTATAATCATTATCAGAAAAAGAAGCTTTAGTTTTGCTAAAACATATTATATTTTAGAAGTGTTGATACAATAGGATGACGTCTAGCCCAAACTACTCTTACTGTTAACTGCTCTTCAACTAGATTGTGTAGTTCCGTCCAGTTATCAGTGAAATAGAAGTAAGAAGTACAGAGACTTCTGCGAACATCGTCAGATTGCAACCGTTCATATTCAATTTACAGAGATATCAATAGTAATAAGAAAAAAAAGTCGGCCCAAGTGTAATTCCTTACGAGACGTCGTAGCTTCATGGTGTTTCATTACTAAGATGTCCATCTACCCTCACTATTTGTCCTCTGCCAGTTAATTAGTATTTAACCACTCATACGTAATACCTCTAATAACAATGTTTTCCAGACGAGTCAATAATACGGGAAGAGTGTCAAAGGCTTTTTATAAGTCAGCAAATTAACGACGAAATATTTTTACCCCGATCGAGATGTCTGTCTTAAAGTTAACCTTCAAATGAATACTTATTGGTTCGCAGATAAAAGATTTTTAGTTTCCAAATGTTATATTAAACGTTGATTGCTATGTTTTTAAACTTTTTAACAGTGGTAGAGCCATGCAGCAGCTTTTGCTGTCGCACGGATGGGCCGGCTCGAACCGGGGTGGTACCACGACCTCACAGAAAACCAGCGTGAAGTAGAAATTTACCTCTGCGTTTCGCTTGGTGAGTGCAGGTGGCCGGAGGCCCTTTTTACTGGAAATGAGGCATTCCATCTTAGTCCTCACGGGTGACAACGCATCTATATTTTGGATAGATGTAGATGTCTATGGGCCGCAGCAACCACTTACCATCAGGTGGACTGTGTGCTCGTTTGTCACCCTTATCCTATATAAAAAAAACTCCTGACCTTGTTAAATTATCCAAGCCCAGAGCACTTTTAAATTTATAGTAGCTATAATACGAGTATTACAAATTTCTTTAGGATCCGCGATAAAGAATGCAATCATTTCAGTTGCAGATATTAGTTTAGCTATAAAAGCCAATTGCTCTTCAGTAGTATTAAGCTTATTGAGAGTTTGTGTAACCAAATTACAACCTATTGAGGTAAAGTATTCGTTACCTTCATCCAAAGACTCTTAAGGTGTAGGTTTGATTTGGATAAACTCAACTGTCAGATTGTTATTAAATGTGTAGTTGCAGATCTCTCTAATGGCCTTTCACGTCTCCTTAGGATTTATTTGTGTTTTTGGAAGTGATTTTAATAGCAGTCTGCTTTCAATTTCTAGACTAATTTATTACACCAATTTCTACAGTTAAGAGTTATTTATTAGGTTTCCCTGATGATTATTATTTCATACTTCTGTAATGGAACTCGGAAAGTTATGATCAAAAACAGGTAAAAGTTCTTCTGGGTCACCTGTACTAATGGGTGTTCCTTAGGGCTTAATTCTCGGCCCATTACTATTTATGATCTATATTAATGACTCACCTTTCCTTGTAGGGGATAACCATGCTAGGATTATTTGCTGATCATAATTCATTGATTGACACATACGGTTGTACTTTTGGCATTATCGAGTAATAGAAATATTCCTTAAAAATATCTTTTTAAAAATTCCCCACCATATTATGTTGATGCATCACATCATTTTTGGGAAACAATAATATTTTATTGAACCTGTAGTAAGTACAGTCAGAAAAAAATATTACATGGAATGGCAAAAAAAAAATAAAAATAAAAATGCCTTTATTCCTTGCAATATCGATTTTTTAATTCTAGTAGTTTTATGGTAATGGGTTAGTGTCTTTAATTAGTTTATTCATTTTTTTTTATTTTAATTATACTTAAATTTTTGTTAGTATTATTTATTAGTTTTATTTATTGCTAGGACGTTATTGGGTATAGGCCTCCTCCAAAGATGCCCATTTGTCTCTGTCTTGTGATATTTGGCTCCAGTTTGAGCCAGCGGTTCTTTTAAGATCGTCCTCCCATCGTGTTATTGGTCTTCCTCCGTTTCTTTTCCCTTGTGGACCTTTCCATAGGGTTGCTCTTACGGTCCATCTCTGGTATGTACATGGCCTGCCCATTTCCACTTTTGCTTTTGTGCATAGATCAAGGCATTGGTGACTTTCGTAATTGCTCTTATTTTTATATGTCGTATTTTGTCGATTTTCTTTACCTTGAGCATGCTTCGCTCCATTCCTCGCTGACAGGTGGTGATTTTTTGCTTGACTTTGGCCGTAAATTTCCATGTTTGGCATCCGTACGTTAAGCGCGGTAAGAGACTAAAGTTCATGGTCTTAGTTTTTATACTTATTGGCTTGTTACTTTTGAAAATCTCCTTTAGACTCCAGTATTTGTTCCATGTTTGTTGTACTCTTCTTGCTATTTGTCGTTGTTTTTTCTGTCAAAATTGATTGTTTTTCCCAAGTATATGTATGTTTCTGTGTATTGTAACGAGTTTTCATTAATAGTTATTGGTATTTTATAACTATTTGTCATGGTCATGGTTTTATTGAAATTGATTTCTAATCCAACTTTTGTACTAGCTACTTGTAAGGAATTGATCATGAACTGAAGTTGTGAGCTGGTCTCTGATAGTATCACTATGTCATCTGCGAATCTTAGGTGACTTAAGAAGGCGTCTTGTATGTTGATACCTAGTTTATTCTAGTCTAGCTTGTTAATGATGGTTTCAAGAATCACTATAAATATTTTTAGGGATAGCGGGTCTCCCTGCCTTACGTCCCTCTTTATGGGGAAACTTGGGCCCAGTTTCTAACTTTATTCTGCCTATGTTGGCGTTATATATGCTTTTGATGACCTCTGCATATACTTCGTACACTTATTGTTCTTTCAAGCTTTCCCATATACTTGTGTGTGTTACCGTATCGAACGCCTTTTGATAGTCGACAAAAGCGAGATATAGGTGTCTCTGTTACTCTTGATACTTCTCTATTATTAACTCAAGGGTGTGTATGTGGTCTAATAAAGAGAACCCCTTTCTGAAACCTGCTTGTTCTATAGGCTGTCTAGCGTCAATTATAGGATTGATTCTTGCGTTGATTATGGCGGAGAACAGCTTGTTGCAATAGACTCGTTAGCAAACTTATTGGTCTCTATAGTCCGCTACTTGTTTTGGATCGCCCTTCTTATATATTAGGATAATATTGGATTCGGACCATTGTGTAGATGTTTCAGAATTTTGTAATATTACATTGAATAGCTCAGCTAGTGGAGTGGCCAAGATTTTCTGTGCTGTCTTTTTTTTATATATAGTGACAAACGAACACACAGTCCACCTGATGGTAAGTGGTTGCTGTGGCCCATAGACATTTACATCTACTTATCTTCGTTTGCGAATTAAAATGCAGATGCGTTGTCACCCGTGAGGACTAAGATAGAATGCCTCTTTTCCAGTAAAAAGGGTCTCCGATTCTCTACACTCACCATACGAGACACAGCAGTGTTAAAATGCTATTTTACGCTGGTATTCTGTGAGAGCGTGGTCCTTCCCCGGTCGAGCCGACCCATTCATGTTACAACTATACTACTAATATAGCTGCAGCATGGTTTTACCACGTCTTTATTGTTTCTTTTGTGATGTTGTCTGATCCGGGGGATTTTTCTAGTTTTAGCTTTTTTATTGCTTCTATTATTTCCATTTCATCTATTGATTTAATGTTCTTTTCACTGCAATGTCTGGTATAATTGTTTTGTCTTGTAGTTGTTTGGGTCATATCGCTGTATAGTGTTTAATAAAAATCGGTTGCTATAGTTATGATGTCTAAGCGTTTGTTCGAAGTCTTTGCCAATCCTCTTCAATCCTTCTATCAAGTATTGATGGTTCTGAGGTCCTTGAAGGCCTGTTTTTGTACTTCCGGTGATTTGTAGACGTCCTATTGTGTTTTCTGTATTTTGCGTAGTCACGTTTAATATATTTAATTGACTAATTTGTAGAGTGCAGCGAGTTCTTTTTTCATAGAGCGTGTTTTATGTTTTGTTTTTTGTAATTCTATTTTTCTTTGTAATAGAGCTGCTGTTCGTGTCGAGAAAATCTTATGACGATTTTGTTCATCTCCCATTATTCAGACTAGTCTTAAACTGCGTATGATAGAGTTTGTTATATTATCATACTGGCTTTGTATTGATGTGTTTTCATGGCGAACTGGTGAATCTAACAGCATTTTTGACAAGTTTTGTTTGTACTTTGATATTTCTTCTTCAGTCTTTAGTTGGTATACTTGTTTTTTTGCAAATTTGACTCTACTTTTCTTTTGGTTAGTTAGCTTTACCGATACTCTGATTAGCCTATGGTCTGATGGGTAGTTTAAGTTCATAGTACTAATATCTTCAAAAATTCTAGGTTGGTTGGATAGTATGTAGTCTATTTCGTTTTTGTATTCACCGTTTGGAGAACTCCATGTCCACCTTCTGTTTGGCTTCTTTCTGAAACATGTATTTATTATTGTAAATTTGTGTTCTAATGCGAAGTCCACAAGTTTCTGTCCCCTGTCATTTCTTGTGCCATAACCAAATTATGTTCTTCTTTCTTGGGAACTCCTATCTTTGCATTAAAGTCTCCCATCAGTATAATGATCTTATGTATGGTCTCTAATGCTTTGTCGACTGTTTTGTAAAATTCGTCTATTTCGTACTCGCTTCCAGCTTCAGTTGGTGCATATACTTGTATGGTCATTAGCATATAACCTTGAATATTTAAGTTCAGTACTGCGACCCGTTCTGACATGCCGATGAAACTCTATAATGGTTTTATGTGATTTGTTTATTATAAAGCCTACCCCGTATTTGCCTGGAGTTGCTTTGCTTCTTAACTGGCAATAAAGTTAAATAATGACACTAGTGAGGGTAACGATCTATGATATGGTATCACCCGTGAAAAAAAAACCTAATTAATAATAAAACTCATTAAAATTTTGTTCACAACTGAAAAAACATCGCGTAACATAAAAACAAATAAACAAAAACATTCAGTCGAACCGAGAACCTCTTCCTTTTTTTGAAGTCAGCTAAAAAATATGTAGTTATGGATGCCTACGACAATGAATGCATATGAATTCTTGTCAGGGAGTAGTTACCTAGTTTATTATTTGGAGGAATGACATGCGTGTGCGACGTAGCCATTTTATTCATTCATTATTGACACACGTTTTAGCATGAACCCTTCCATTGGATGATAATAACCCCTGGGAATGAGGTGATCGCTACCAAGCTATTTCTAATTTGTTGTGTTGTTAATTGTGTAACATATTGTTATTAAAAAAAAGTCCCGCTGAGTTTCTTCCCAAGACAAAGGTTTTTTTGAACCAATTAAACAAAAGAGTGACTTTCAATAAGTGTTATTTATAATCTACATTGAATAAAAAAAATTCTGTTTCTGTTTCCGGACGGTTCTATTTGTAACGAGACCAGAAGCCTTCCATTTTAATTCCGAATACCTATCATAAAATCGCTGCGTCCATTAGCATTTTAAATTATTCAATGTACCATGCGCAACATGACGTTTCAACTTTAAATGACGTTTTTTCCTATATTCTGGTATTCTATTATGTGTTACGGAACGAATCGATGCATAGAGCAACATTTTAATAGAACAAAAATTGCTATTAAAGGTATACTAAAATGTAAATGCCCAAAAGAATCCAGAAACATTTGTTATCTTTACTACACTATGTAACATCATGATGTTTACATAGCGATTGTACCCTACGCCTCATAATTTTGTCTTCAGTTTTTTAAATAGTTTTTAAATGTAAAAGTAACAAATAACTTTGAAAAATTTAGGAAAAATATAGTTATATTATCATTTTATTTCCATAGGATTACAACTAGTCCATGGCAGCGGCGAGAAATGGGGCCATATGGATACTATCTCAATCGACCATTCTCGACTATACAATCCTTCGTCAATTTATCTTTACGTGAGCGAGCTTTGACCTTAAGGCGTACATTTAGCGACTCTAAAATTATTATTAAAGAACCACCGAAGAAAAGAAGACATTCAAAATCCATTTAAAATCAATAAAACGTGATATTTTAATCGATTTTATAGTTTTATTTTTTTTTATGTTCAGATCAAAATTTATTAAAGACAAGGAGTAAACCACTTACTGTAAAATTATTAAGTATCATATTTATATTTTCAACTGGTGGCGGCATTGTTAATTTTTGGTTATAAAATACTTTTCTTATGTTGTTCATGAATAAAAATAAATTTTAATATTTTTTATAAATTTAGGACACATTATGTGAAAAAATATTAAACAATATTTTAAACACAAAATGTGTACCTACCCTTATAATAGATATTTAATTTTTTCAACTTGCAATCATCAGCTGACTCATAAAAATAATAATAGATGTCACTACTAATCAAATTAGAACATGCTTTAGAGATTTGTGCACGTAAATATATAGAACAAAGTAATACCAGCAACAGCATACTAACCTTGCGTAGGGTGTACCGTGATCAAGAAGGCGGTTGCCCCGGGCTGGCTCCAACCATTGCACTGCGGTTGGATATAGCTAGTCTGTGACTATCTCAAACTGGGATACGTCGTACGTGTAATTTTTGGTAGTTGGACTAGCGTTCTGCGCGGTCCTTCGATTAACTTATAAAATCTTTCGACAATAATTTCACACACATAAAAAAATTAGAAATAGATGCCAGTAATAGATTTACCAAGAGATTACTTAAAGCAATACAAATAACCATACCCAAGAATAGCGGGTATTCCTTGTCTGCTTGTCTCGTAAAAGGCTAAATGAATGAAATAATGAAAAAACAAATTCATAGTAGATGATGAGTAGTATAACATACTATAACATGTTATTATTTAATAATATACTTAAATCCAAAAAAGTGTGCTCAAAGGTATCACCGAAACCTGTGCCTGTGCTTTAGTTGTAAAATTATTACTCTTTCTTTGGTACGTAAAAACTTCAAACATAAATCATATTGTATTTTAAAATAAACCGGAATTTTTCATACGTACGTTAGAAATCTAAAGACAATCAAATTAATAAAACAAATTTTGTACAAATCAGCGCATTAAAATAAGACAGTATGAAAAATAATAAGAGTATAAGAGTGAGGAAAAGGTCTTCCTTTAGCTTGAAATCGAACCAACTCGAAGTTGAGCTGACACTTAAATTTCGAAATGTTATCGTAAAACCATTTTGTGAAATCCTAAAAAAGATTTTCTTTTTTTATTAAACAGAAGCGATAAACTTACGAATAAGAGGGTGAGACTCCACGAGATTCTTAACCAGAAAAACTTCTACCAAAAAACAAAAAGTGTTCTTTTATTAGAGGTTCATCAATTGATAGATGTGCCTACATTAAGAAAATAACTACTAACCTGCTCAACCCATCATCTCTATGGTAAATTCCTGATTTTAGGAGGAAGTAGAGAGACGCAACTTTGCAAGGTAGGCTAAACCAAATTTGTACGGCTCAGTATAAAATTTCCCAAGCTGATTCGTAGCAAAGTCACTGTATATGATAAATCTTATCTGACCAACACTTATCTTTGGCTCTTACAAAATGGCTTACGCATATGCCCCTGATAGCTTTATTCGATTTATTTACTTAGTTCGATAAAATAATTCTAGTTTTGAATCAATCAAAGTTTTCAAAACATGTATCTATACGTGGCCCATACCAAGTAAGTAGTACATTTTCTTATCGATATACACACACAAACACTCACGCCTGTCACCCAGAGTGGTAGGCAGAGACTACGGACTTTCATTTAGCGCGATCCTGACACACCTCGCTCGCCTCCTTTACATCCATATATCTACGCATACACGCTCGTCGGTTAAGGGTACTCTGGCCCATTTTTAATGTTTCGCCGATTTGGTCGATAAACCTTCGTCTAGGGCGTCCCTTCCCGACCCTGCCGTTCACTTCTGCAACATAAATTTGCTTTGTCACTCTTTCCTCGTTCATTCTTTCTACATGACCAAACAACCGAAGCATTTCTTTCTTAATCCTTGTCACAACGTCATCTTGCAAACCACATTTTTCTCTTATCACACTATTTCTCACCTTGTCATTCAGATTCAGCCCTAGCATACTCCTTAAGGACCGCATCTCTACAGTATTTATTCTACTCTCATGCTTCTTCTGCCAGACCCAACTTTCACTACCATACATTAAAGTAGGGACTAACACAGCATTATGTATTGCCATACGTGCCTTATTTGACACATCCTGACTCCTCATAATAGCGTGTAGAGCCCCATTCACTCTATTTCCTGCGTTCACTCGTCGTTCTATATCCTTATCATATCTACCATCCCTGCTAAATAAACATATAAATAATAAACGATAATAATATTATATCATAAACGATATAATCGATAAATAATAACTTTTTTAATGGAAAATCGACCTCAAAAACAAAAAAGAATAGAATGATAGCTTCTGAAGTCAGTCAGTGATATATCACATAGTAGTTGAAGAATTTATTTTTCTTTTTTGTTTTTGAAGTCGGTTTTACTTATTTTAAAACGTTTAATTTTACCCTTTAATTTAACAGCTAGAATATCGTCTACTTACACCAAATCCTTCCCCCCTATTCTTTTACCCTTAGGGATGTAACTTTTTCTTTAATTTATATGCGACCACCCCTAAAGTATAATCTTATTAATTAAAAAAAATTATTCAGCCTTTTCAGAAAAATCGACAACCCCATAAGAAACTATACGCGTCTAATATAGAACCTTCCCTTCTTTATTTATTTTTTTGAACACGCCTTAAATAATTGTTTTTAATTACTACTAAATTATAATATTAGTTAGTATTATTTTTACATTTTATTTTATAGTTAGAGTGCTTCCCATATTATATCGGTTCGGTCGGTCAATCTCCACATTAATGTCGTCTTGAAGTTCTCTGCTATGCTTCAAGTGGAGTCTGTACTGTTTAATGCTTGTCTTATCATGAGGTTCTTATCTTTTCATCAAATCAGTTACAGTTCTGCCAACCTCTTGAGCATTCGTTTCTCATTAGTACCATTATCGATTGATATAATAATGTATCGGTAAAAAGTCTATAATCGTTTTTCGAAAATGGGGTGATTCAATTCCGGGCTAATAAAGTAAGACTATAGTAGTAGAGATTTTTTTAAGACATTTTTTTTTGAAAACAAAAATGTCTTTAAAAAAATCAAGTCTTTTAGCGAACTGCTTCCCTTAACTGCTTAAATTTTTTTTTTCTTAATCTTTATATATCTTTATAAGACTCATAATATTGACCAATCGCCAATCGCAATTTTTAGTCGCCGCGCCAACCTTCGATACAGCCTAAAAGGAGAAAATCGCCTAACTTGGCACCACTGTATAATACTAATATGTTTAGTGTGATGATAATAATATCAACCTCGGTGATCTATTTTCTTAGGAAAACTCCACAAATGCAAATTTTTTTAGTCTCATTGTACAAAAATAAGTTTTCATTTATGATATTTCCAAGGTGTTTGTTTAATTTTAATGTATTTTGCAACAAACTATAATATATATTAGGTATTAAATATCTACTTTAACGCTTTTTAAACAATTCATTCATTAATAAATAAATTATTATTTATTTTAGAGAGTATACTTTTGCAATGGTGCTTATTTTAGTGTGGTTAAAAAATATTTCTTTCAAATGTTTATACTAGATGAGTGTAACGATTGTGCTAAACTGATTACAATAATTGTTAAACACAACGTTTCTAATAGTGTGAAGAACCTTTTCCATGTTACCTATTAATTTTGTGCCATTAATGTATTTAAAAATCAATTAATCATATTATAATAATTATATGTTTACTATCTCTTTTTAATGACTGATAGTAGACCTGACTTCATAATAACATATGACCATAAAAAAAAATTGTAATCTGGAATATGTTTCGCAATCAACAAAACCCACAGCATATGTAATATAAACAATTTTAAAATAGTCAAATCAATTAAGCATCTGATCTGTTGTATTTCATAAAAAAAAAAAAACAAAAACAGAAACTATTAAAGCATAAACAACATGTTTATTGTTTCAACAACGACCACACTATAGATCAGATAGACCTTCAGTACTAACCAACGTCCTGACAACTAACCATACATCGCACGCAAGCCCACGCACCGACGCGCACTGTGTGAAAGAAAAAACAACACATAAGGTTCATTTATTTGTACAAATTACATATTCTTAGAAAAACAAGTAGGTATGTATAAAAAAACGAACATCTGTTTCGATACAAAAGCATATAAAACTGACATTATTTTATTAACGCTCTTTAGATAAAAATTCTGTTTTCCTCCTGATACTAACAAGTGCTACGTATCGCCGGCCGGTGTTGCCTTCTTTAGGTTTTTCAGTGCAAAGCTTCTCAGGGGATCCCTCTGCCGCGCCTGGAAAGAACATCAGATATCAGAACTAGATCTTTTGTTGGTAAGTGGATACTGTGACCGATAGATATCTACAATCTACATCTATCCTCGATCAAGAATCAGTATACAGATGCGTCGTCACCCCTGAGGACTAAGATGGAATGCCTTCTAGTAAAAAGGGTCTCCAGGTCTGTACACTCACCATACGAAACACAGCACCATTAAGCTGATATTTTGCCCTGGTATTTTGTGAGTTCCGTGTTCCTTCCTCGATCGAGCCAACCCATTCGTGCTTCAACCATAATACAGCTACAGCATGGCTTTACCACATGGAGAACTCACATGTTTTTGAAATATATATTTTTACAATTTCACAGACATGCAGGTTTCCGCACTATGTTTTCCTTCACCTTCGAGCATGTAGTAAATCAGCACTTAAAATTGCAATTTACATTTTCATTGGCGCTAACGGGAATCAAACGCAGGTTATCTAAACTTAAAATAAACAAAACAATTGTACTTTTAATTTACCTGATATTTGTGCCTTTTCACACTCCCATAGTTTGCAGGCTGTTTCTGTTTCCTTTTCTTCACAGGTTCCGCTGGCTGATCTACATCGGGTTCTGGTGCTTCGTTCCTCAGAGCAGCTGGCAGCAAGTACTCTGGTACGTGTGCAAGCTGGGGCTGGAGCCTCACTGTATGTAGTGCTTTGTCTCTCCGTAAAGCTGCCAAGTCTGTTGGATTCTCTTCAAAGTAGCCCTAGAATTAAATAGTGAACTCAGTTTTGCCTATACAATTTTCAAGAGTGTATAGAGAGCATGTAGATCAGAGAGAAGATTAGTCGTTCATCAATGCATTATGTTGGTATTGCTGTCATCATAATATGTAACTGATAGATTTCTTTAACCTCAATATGTTAACTAAAGTGCATCAGTAAATTGCATTAGTATTTCTAATGTAACTTTGCGCCCTACTACTATATATATAGTAATTTGATAATTGTCAATTTGTACGCAACCACTAGGTAGTATGACTGCAAAGATGGTATGTACTGGTGGTATGTACTCAATGTCTGCAGTCAAGTATCATTGTACCCACTGCTGTTTCCTGGTGTGGAGGATAAAAAAAGCAGTATAATAGCCATCATGGTGAGAAGATATCTGTGACGATCTTCATTTGAAGGCTGCTGGAGCCATGTACCATTCCCCATATCGGGTACTCTATTGCGAGGCCTATGTTCAGCGGTTTGAAAGGCTGTAATAAAAGATGCATGACTACATGAATATATTTTCCATTATGTCAATTAAGATTGGCCATGGCCATGGCAGTCAGTTTAGCATTTATTGAAATAGTTCGAATTTTCCTCTTACCCTGTTCTCGAACCTCGATTTTAGCAATGAAATGAAAAGCTAAGCTGACATAAGTTTCGTACTTACATAAATATACAGACAGACATAAAATAGCAGTATAGCTGACCTGCAACTTTTTGCAGTTGAGCAGCTCTTGCTTGATCTCCTTGAGCCTGGCCTCCCGCACGGCGATGCGGGTAACGGCTCGCCACGCGTCTCTTGATCTGTACCGGAACCCCTCCACCTCTTCCAACGCGAACTCGTACTTCCTGACACCAATAAGTGCTATTAATTATCTACCTGCATTTCATTTTGCTAACGTTTTATATGTGATAATGGTAGAATGCATTTTTCTTGCCAATTCGGAATCCACCTTATGCGTAGCTTCTATATGAGGAATTATAAATCTCTATATATAAAAATCAACCAGTGCATGTTGCCAGTGATGACCAATAAATCTGAGACGTGGTCTTTCACTAATTGCCGTATGAGAAAGCTCAAAGTCGCTCAGCGAGCTATAGAGAGGGATATGCATGGGATTTCTCTATGTAATGAACTTAAAAACGAGGATATCTGCAGTAGAACCAGGTAACCGCCATAGCCCAACGGATTAGTAAGCTGAAGTGGTAATAATGGCCCGGCCATATAGCTCGAAGAACCGACAACCGATGGGGAAGAAAGGTTCTCGAGTGGCAGCCTCACCTCACTAGATGGAGTGACGACCTGGTTCGACATGCAGGAAGTCAATGAATGCAGGTGGCTCGGGACCTTGCTTTGTGGCGTTTCTTGGGGGAAGCCTATGTTCTGCAGTGGGCTTATGAAGGGCTGTAATGATGATATATAAAAATCAATTGCTGTCTGTTTGTCTCGCTAAAACTCTAAAACGGCTCGACGATTTTGATAATTTTTTTGTATGTATTTGTGTGGGTCTCAGGATGATCTATGAACCCTCTATGTGGCGCTGTTGTCGAGATCCAGAAATCACCCGTGCGAAGGTGGGGTGGATCGCTATTTACTAATAAAAGTTTACACTATGCAAGATACATAACATTTGAGTCAAGAGTCAATTACTCAGGAAATTCAGTGAATCATTCATTTTCACACTGCTCTCTAAGATTTAGGTAGATAGGTTGCTATGAATTAATGCTAGTACTTGCAAATGCCTTATTATCTTTAACTTATTTAAGTACTTAACAACTTACTGCAAGACTTTCTCGCCATTAAAACCTTTTGACAAGTGCTCTTCCACAGCGTCCATCAATGGTTTCTCTCGCAAAGATACAAATGACAGCACTGAACCCTGAAACAATCACAGTTTTTGAAATAAAATGACATAGAAAACTAATTGTATTATATTAATAATGCTTCTGCAAAAATGCTTAGAAATCAATGATGAGGTGGATATATTATTCATATTGTGACTGTGGTTATTTAAAAATAGGATACTATAAATAAGTTGATTTAAAAGAAGATGATGATGGTTCTATCATCTCGGATAAGACTTGCTCTTGGATCGTTACTCACACTTGCGTGTGGCTCCAACGATGATATGTACAGCTGCCCATAGAACCTCTCAATCTCACTCAAAATCTCAGGTGTCCCGGAAACGACGCTGCCACACTCAGTCTTCAGCTTCGACAGTTGGCTCTTTCTGGCAGACAGATCTCTAGCAGACTTTGGAGCCTTGGTTCCACTCAATCGCTTCTTCAATATGAGCTGTATTGAAGTTGCTAAGTCCCGCCGTATGCATTTGGAGATCTGTGTATTCAGTTGCCTGTATGCTCTCAAATCTGCTGAAGACTGCATCTTCATTTCCCGTCTAACAGCCATGAGATTAAGAGTGTGATCGGAGTTTTTGTGTTCTTCTGCGGCGGGTCTTGCAGAACTTATCTCCGACCGCATGGACAGTTTCCACAAGCTTGTCATATTGTTCACTGCATTGCAATCTTCTAGGCACTGAAAACGGTTTTGTAGCTCGAGCTGAAAGGTTTCGGGACTTTGGATTACAGCACGAGGGCGAAGGAGCGTTGACTTCATTAGGCGAGACCTCTCCAACTGAACTGAACCTAAAACGTTGAACCTAAAACGTTAACGTTTTAGGTTCAGTGTGCCTCTCACCAGTCGGTGATCACTGACGGTTTTCACCGTCGCGATCACTGAGACATCATTGAACAGTTATCGTCTGGTCGTCATAATGAAGTCAATCTTATTTTTGTCGAACCGTCGGGGCTCGACCAGGTGCACTTCCAGTGGGGCCGCTTCTGGAAGAAAGCGTTCATCATAAAGAGTCCCTCTTTCGCCATGAAGTCGGCCAGCTGCTGACCCCTTGGGTTCCGTTGCCCTATTCTAAATTTCCCTACCTTCAGCTAACCATTCTCTCTTGTACCTAGTTTTGCGTTGAAGTCTCCCATTAACAACTATAGTAGGTTTTGAAGGAATGCATGGCTCTATATATATATCTCCAAAACCCACTATAGTTATACTCATACATTTCCTCCACCTTCTCATCGGGATATGCCGAGGTTGGTGCGTAAACCCGTATGACATTCAGCGAATACCGTTTGGTGATTATGAGTATAAGGTATGCAACCCTCGTCGACACACTCTTAATTTTTACAACGTTGTTAACGAGATACTTGTGGACGATAAATCCCACACCTCCTTGGGACAGATGGTCGCCCTCCCGGTGATAGAACAAGTTGCCGGATTCGAGGATTACCATGTCCTCCCCCTCTCTTCCGACCTCGGATAATCCTAATATATAATATTCCAGCGCAACTTATCTACCTATTCTTCCAACTCCAAGATCTTCTCGTCTGTCATCGTGCGTCACAGGGTGCGTGCGTTATATGTTACCAGGTCGAGTCGTCTTAGGTGGTAACCGAACCTCCACCGGAGATTCTTAGCACCCCCTAACCCGCCGTTACCATGGTCGCCACCGAAGCCAGGAATAGCGTGGCCGCCGCGAACTGGGGCCGTTTCTTCGTAACTTTATTCATGGGGGGTATTTACCATAGTTGCCACGCTTGGCGAGCGAGTTGCCAACCGCAGTTTTTTTATTGTTGTTTTGCTGTTATCAGAAAGATGCTGCTGAATGGTATTCTTCATGTTTGAGTTGCATCAAGCAAGTATGGCAAGTATATAAATCTATGTACTTGCCATATGCTTGATGCAATTTTTAAAACAAAAATTTTTTTAATTTTTAGCTTTAGGCAAAGTGTTTGTGACCTGCTACATAAAGCATTATTTTAGTTGTGCATTCAAAAACATTTCTTATGCTTGCTCTAGCAGCGTGATCCAAAAATCCAGCTGCTTCAAAACAATGTATTTTTGAATCACGCTGCCATCTGCCATCAAGCTGCTTGGTCGTCTCGGAACCCCATTAGATTTTTTTGACTAGTTTATATAATAAGTTCAGTTACAACTTATTTTGGAGAAAAATAATTTACAGTTTCTTGTCACTTAGTAGGGATTTCTTGACGCAATGGTGTACCTTTCTAGACTTTAAAAAAGTGTTTTATAAAGGCCAATTATTAATAAAAATGCTTTACTCTGACTACACAAGTTTCTCACCTGGTTATTGCCTCTGGCAGTGCGCCCCGCACGGTGTACATAGGAGTTTACGTCAAGAGGGAAGTCGAAGTTGATGACGTTTGACACATGTTGGAAATCAATGCCTCGGGACACGCCAGACTCTTTGTCTTTTTTACGTTTTGATTTTTGCTGAAAAAAATGATAATACTTAAAAAAAACACCATTAAAATCGGAATATCTAACCGAAAGTTGTATTATACAAATGTTGTAATTTGGACCAGTTAACACCAATAGGAAGGAAATATCTCGAGTAGCAGCATGTACCATGAAGCAAATACAAAGAGGAGACGCTGTAATTCAATTTCACTATGAAACAGCCCGTGACAATTTGCGGGGTGAGGGGATGCAAAGCCCCGCCCACTACACTATCTACATCTACCGATAAATAGTAAAACTACTCGAATCTTTCCATATCAATGTTGCAATGTAGCTTAGCTACCTTGACGGTAGATGGCGGCATATCCACAAAATGTTATAAACTAAAAAATAATATTTTGGCGATTAAAATTTCTTTAGGTCTGAATGCAAAACAAATTTTAGCACCTTCGTATGATTATTTTATCATTACTGAGCTCTACGTACCTTTATATTTTTAGTTCACAGGACACAAAGTGTCGCCATCTAGTGTGGAATATATTTAATTATATTTGAAAGCTGACGCAAAGAGATTTTTCTAGAACTATTTTAATAAATTAGGTGTAAAATTACTTACAAATGAAATGTGATGCCATCCATAGCATCGGAGCGTCTATCTCATGAAGCAAATACATTCAGACAAAGAAATTTAATCGCCAAAATAATAATTTTATACTTTTCATAATAATTTTGGGAACAGACCGCCATATATTGTCAAGTAAACCTCATAAAAAATTACAAAAAGACAGGGCCGCAATTAGAATTCAATTATTTTACCCAGTAACCCAACATTCAATATTAAAATGAAGGAAATTGTACTTGGCTGATTTTTACGAAATGTTTAAGTTATATGTAACTGACATTCTATATGCAAAGAATCACTTAAATACAATTTAAATATGTTTATCATTTCGTGAAAGTCAACCTTCAAAAAATATTTATTTTATCCATAAAATAAAGTCTCTTTGAAACTAAATATTCTATGTTCAATATTAAGTAGGATATTTAATTTGGAACTAAATATCCTACTTATCTCACTAATATTATAAAGGCGAAATATTGTGTGTTCTTTCTGTCTCCTTGAGCTTATTCCACACTAAGTATGTTTAATTTTTTCACGCAGAAATGGCTGGACTATTACTTATGTGTGGGTTATACTACTTAATATCTCTGAGGGAGAACAAATAATAGACAAATTATTATAATTAATATAATTTTATTTACAAATCAATTAAAATATAAATATTTTATTCCAAATTAGGCACTTTTTGAATGCCAATCTAAGAACATTGAATTGTATTTAAGTGATTCTTTGCATATAGAATGTCACTTAAATATAACTTAAACATTTCGTGAAAATCAGCCTAAGTACAATTTCCTTCATTTTAATATTGAAAGTTGGATTACTGAATAAAATAATTGAATTCTAATTACGGCACTCTTTTTGTTATCTTTATGAGGTTTACTTGACGATAGAATACGGCCTGTTCACATAATGATTATAAACTATAAAATAATATTTTGCGATTAAAATTACTTTATATCTGAATGCAAAACAAATTTCAGCACCTTCGTATGTTTATTTTACCAATACTGAGCTTTATATTTTTAGTTCACATGACACAAAGTGTCGCCATCTAGTGTGGAATATATTTAATTATATTTGAAAGCCGAGAGAGATTTTAAGAGATTTTTCTAGAACTATTTTAATAAATTAGGTGTAAAATTATTTACAAATGAAATGTGATGCCATCCATAACATCAGAGCGTCTATCTGAGTAGTTTTTACACAATAAAACACAACACTTCATCCTTTTCTTCTTAATACTACGAAAATACATCGATCTGCGATTTTTTCAACACATGAGCGCACAGGACGAATGCTGACAGTATACTAACTAAAGCCACGCGCGATGACGTCAGGACCTACTTAGAATCACAGTGCACAGTTGCTTATGCCGTCTCCCCTTTGTATTAGCATGGCATGTACTGATGAGAGCAATAGAGGTCTGTCTCGCTAGATGTAGGAATAACCTGATAGAAGTCAGGCAGATGACTTCGTGCCAGCAGCGGTGAGGTGGACTGCGGTTATGATAAAGACATAAATAACTTATTCAGTCAGCTTGATTCAAAGTAGTGGTGATTAAAAACTAGAGATTTTGAATGAATATAAAATTAATATTATTTTTTTGATATATTATGTTCTGAAATTACCATTAATTTTATATATTGGAACATTCATTAATAATTTTAACGGATATACAGTTAGCATTAGTAAACCTTACTTTTTTCTTCTTTCCCCATTCTTCACCTGCCAACAGGCCTCCATCAGGCTGCTCCAGTGCTTTTTCATCCGATGCTACTATTATTTGATAGCGTCCCCTGTTAAACTGATCAACAGACAAACATCTGACTGCTGCAGGTAACTCTGAATTAAGTACACATGACCCAATTTTAAACTGTTCCAAGTATAGTTTCAATCTGAAAACAGGTTTAGGATATGGTTACTTACATATTCATACATGGTAGAGCCATGCTGCAGCTATATTCTAGGTGTAACGAGAATGGGTCAGCTCGACCGGGGAAAGAACATGCTCTCACAGAATACCAGCATAAAATAGCAGCTTAATGTTGCTGGATTTCGTATGGTGAGTATAATGAACCGCAAACCCTTTTTACTGGATAGAGGCAATCCATTCTGGTTCTCAGGGGTAACAACGTGTCTGCATTTTTTTTTCTTTTTTTTTTTTCTTTTTTTTCTTTTTTTTTTTTTAAATTCTCATATGTATAGTCGAGGATATATGTAGATTTCTATGGGCCACAGTAGCCACTTACCATCCATCAGCTGGACTGTGTGCTCGTATGTCACCCCATTTCTATAAAAAAAATATTTGATATAGGCGTTTTTCCATTTGCTATAGCAAATACGGACATATTTTGGCTTCTATCATCCACTCACTACATCACATAGAATGTAAATAAGTAAAATTACTTTTATTTTTGCAATACAGCTCAGTATTTTCATAAATTGGATAGTTGACACACTATTATTAAATTACTATACCATATGATTTGGATTTGCTACATTGTCTAAATATTGGTTGGTTTTTCGTTTCAATTATAATTTGATTTTTATCATTTCTTTCTACATCTGATTGCAAAGTGATATCATAGTTTTATGATATAACTAACTTTTTAACTTTTAAACATGATTTCGTCCATTTAAACAAATAAAAAAAAAAAGATCTGCAAATCTATAACTGTGATCTTTGGGCAAGTAGTTCAATTATTAAAAGTTATTCAAATCAGCTTTTTGCTAGTAAATGCTCCTTTTCTTGCTAGTAATTCCTAACTAAATGCGATATTAGATGTTTAAAATAGAAATGATCTATTAATTTAACGTAAAAATGCCTTATCACATTACATATTATCACTTATACACCTAGGCAGAAGGGGAGTCCTACCAGTACTAGCATCCTACGACCTATTAGGAGTCCGAACACCAAAAAGGAGTCCATCCACCATATTGGACATAATTAATTTTATAGATATTGTCATACTTTTGCCATTTGCATTGCCATTAATTTTATTTTAGTTTCATTTTCAGTACCATCCAGATGTCTTCCACCTATAATGCTGCTGCCCGTTGCCAGCCTGTATGTCTGGTATGATGGAATTCCATTGGAATAAAACCATTTATCGGATGCATATCAACTTGAAATATGAAACATATCACTTCTCCCATAACAATTAATGATGTACTCTTAATATTAAGAATTCAAAGTATGTTTGAAAATATTATTAAAAAATATTTAAATATTTTCTTACTTATAACACCTGTCCACAGTCCTGACAAAGATTATACTCTTCCCTCTAATCAAGTTTAACTTCAAAAGTGCATACAATATGGCTGCCTTGTCATCTTCTTCAGCAAATAAATGGTAATGCTGGAGTTGCGATGATGGCGCCAGTTCTGGTTCTTCAAGTTTTAATGTTACTGGATTCCGGAGAACTATTTTCTTTAGACTCAGTACATCATCAGACAATGTAGCTGAAGCGAGGACTGCTTGGTAGATTTTTGGTAAATAGCTGTAACAAAATGTTTTGTGTTATATTTGTCTTCAGAAGTGATAGTAATGATGATAAGCTAATAATGATAAAACGAGGGTAGGTCCAAAACTTCACACAATGGAATGGTTGGCGGAAGTGGGGATGCTCATCCAGGTAGGTACTTATTAAGTGACTCAACAGTATATAATTATCAAAAAACATATAAGTAATTCAAGGAGAAACCTGCCAGAATGCAGCAAATTGATCATAGCACTGTGCAAGACATCTAAGATGATTTTTCATGAGCTGTTCTGTTTGTTCTCCTGGTAACAACATTTGTATATAAATGTAATCAAATAATAAATAATTGTATATAAATGACATGGGTATTTTAAAGCAAGGGACTGGATACCAGATGAACATCGATGTGGATAGCCTGAAGCTTTCAGAAATGGTTGGAGTATCAATATAAAATATTAACCATTTTAAACATCCAACATCAACATCTTGAAATGACTGAAATCAGTGTTAGATGGGTTCAGAGAATTCTAACACCACATCAAAAACGCGAATGCGTCGCATGTACTCCAGTTTTCGAAGTGCTGTGGAGAGCAAAAGGAAAAAATTAAGGCCTGAAACGAAACTGAAGAAGTAACCAGAGTTCACGGTTGTGTAGCTAAAATGACCATTTTTGGGATACAGCAGGTATCCATCCTATCGATCAATGATAAAAATAAGGAATCACCATAATGGGAGCTTACACTTCCTTACTAAAACAAAAGTTGCACAGAATTTTTTAACAATGATGAAGTTAAGTCGGCGATTTTGGCCTATTTTGAGAGTAAAGACAAAGTTTTTGATGGTATCAATATGTTTTTCAATAGATTTAAAAGTCCTAATTCTATATATAAACCTAAGGTAAGGCATGGAGGAAGTCGATGTATGCAGGTGGCTGACAATGCTTTGTGACATTCCTTGGGGAGCCAGTGAACTTGCGATGGGCTGTAATAAGGATATAATAAGGGTTAAGGGAGAATACATTGAATAAGAAAAATTGTTTAATGTTTTATTTCAACCAATAAACTAATCATTGTCTTTCAGTAAACTTTCGAAAACTCTTACCTTAACAATTCCTTGATTTCATCTTCATAACCAAAAGAGAATACTAGATCTGCTTCATCTACCACTAGCATAGCCAGGTCTTCTTTTAACCTCATGCTGTTAGCTTTCAAGTGTGCCAGTGCTCTAGAGGGAGTTGCCACCACAATATCTGGTTTGTCTGATAATAATGACTTCTGTATGTGCATATCTCCACTTGATGAGATGTCTATACAGCGAACCTCTCTTGCACACTTTAGTGTCAAATCGGCAATCACTGATGCAATCTATTGTTAAAAAAAAGATACTTAAATAATAGTAAAATGGTTTTAATTTCATTTTAGTTAGCATTAGGTGTACCAGTGCCCTTCCTTCCAGCACCCATATTAGTATGGTTCAACTAAATTAATTAAATAAAGAATGTTTACATTTGAAAATAATTTAGTACCACACAACTAATTTAACTTTTTTATAAAAATCAATTGCTCCATAAGTCTTGCAAAAACTCGAAAATGGCTAGAGATTTTGACATGCTGTGTAGTGGCAGCATAAGAATATCCACTACCCCATTTCATCCCATAGATATCATAAGAAGGGAAAGAGGTAAAGTGAAACAGGAGATGGGCTGCAGCATATTACTAATAACAGCTGAAAATAATTAAAAACACTGCTGTTCTAACCCATCTACCAAGAGTGACCACTATAGCAAAATCTTCTATAAGGCAATCTATGAGGAAGGTTTAGGCTGGATTTAGTGCTCGACCGACGGTGAGCGCTGACATCGGTTGAGCGTAGCTATATCAATGAAAACCTATTAACGGCTACAGTGCAGCGCTGATGAAGTACGCGACCGTCGGTCAAACTCGTCGGTCCGACGTACGTTAGTTGACTGCTTGACCGACGCGCTATGGCGGTACATTCGTGGGTTCAGTGCAAAGAGTGCGACGCTGACAGAGCAACCAACCGTACGCGCGTACGCATTATCGCGAACAAAAATGAACATTGTTATCGCAATTTCGAACACAATGAACAAAATTCTCCTTCAATTAAACGGTTTACAATTATTGGGTGCACATAATATTATCTTCTCCGTCTTTTATGCTGTAATCGTTTGCGTAAATAGTACGCACACATTATAGAGTTCTCAAATGGATTCATATTTCTTCGTAATTGTACACGTCTAACAAAGCTTGCCGTCAGTTAAGCACTAAAAAACGCTTGGCCTCAACTGACAATCAGGACGTACCTTCAGCACGTATGGTACGTGTTGATCGTCGGTCGAGCACTAAATCCAGCCTTATGTTCAGCAGTGGACTTTTGATTGACTCTGATTATAGAAAGAAAATAAATGTAAAAATATGTTTGATTGAATATTTGTCCTTCAATCACCGAACCGCTGGAAGCATTCTAAAGAAATCTAGAATAGAAGTTGATTATATTGTAGAAGAGGAAGTAGGATACTTTTCATGATAATTATTTTAATTTTATTTACAAAGGCAGGTAACAGCTAGTAATAATATAACCTTATACAAATCAGTACCAGCATTGTAGGTTATGAAAGTCGGGAATATCACACAACATTAAACATGACAAGAAATTCTTCTACAACTATTAGAAACTATGTTATGCCAAGACCTAAGACAGCATAGTGCTAATTACAGAATTACTATCAACATGCATAGGAACCATGCAATTTTTTGAGTTAAATAGCAGCTATATCACACTGCAGACAGCCTTCTTAGTTTCTATCTCTATGCAAAAAATTATATTGATCCCTTGTCCTGTGCGCAGTGTGCTACTGTGAGAAAGAGTGGAATACCAACAAACACACTTTCGCATTTATAATATTAGTAGACATATTTGACTTTTATTGTAGTTAACTTGCTAAATTAGTTTTTAACTCTAATGTTAAAATGATAAATGATTTTATTACCACTAAAACAACCTACAAAGTTAAATTGCAGATTAGTCACAAAGTTATTACCATAGATTAATTGTCAATGTACATATGGAATGCTATGCTTTCTTTTATCACGCAAGCAAATGTGACCCATTCTCTTCAATGTTCATGTGAAGATGAGCATAGCCACAAGTCATAATATGATTTTCTTTTTATTCTTATAAAAAACGTTGGCCTCACATTAGGGTTTTGTCCTGTATCATAGAGGCAGTTTACAAACACAAATTGCACAAGAACAAACATCTAGACCTGGAACAATTATTTGTAGGCCATACAAATACTTGTTATATGCGGGATTCATACCTGCAGCCCTCAGCACCACAACTTAATGCTAAGCTAATGCACCACGTAGCCATCATAAATCATAAATTTAATGCTGTGACTCTTAATGAAATAAGAGGGAGTTGAGAGAGTTTGTAAATATTAAAATAGAATTGGTCTGAAAAACATTTATCTTCTTAGGAATTGTGTGTGCATATTGGTCTTGGAGTGTTTATTGTGAAAGATTTTATTGTCCTGGCACTGTTACACGAAGGCATTCTGCTTTTGGGAAGAACTTTCCAATGATGATGACAATTTGTGACCATCTGCATAACAAATAAGTTCACCTTAGTCCCAACTAATGACACCTATCGAGCGTTTCATGTTTGCATTTGGATAAAATTTCCAATATGGACCATCGATTTAAATGCCCATATTTTTTTTGAAGATAGTACTCACTAAAAGAAAGCGTTTTGCAAAGTTTCATTATGCGGAAACACATACTTTTTGAGAAAAAATTATTGAAAATCAATTATTTTTGCAATATTTATGTCAATTCCTACGGTAAAACTGACACTATTTTGTATTGTCATTGTCATCAACGGTAGGGATGTCGATTCTTTCCGAAAAAGATCGATTTTTAAATCTATTCGAATCGTAAGCTGATGTATCGATTCACAAAAAAATTGATTTCTAAAATATCGATATTTTTTCATGTATTCATTTATAATGTAAATATAAATCCATTTTATGAAAACCAGAAAGATACCATAGTAAATAATCTCTTATTGAAATTTGTTTTATTATTTTTATTAGGGCAGATAACAAATTAAATAGGTTAGGTTCAATTTATGTCAAAGAATCAAATTGATTGACCTCGACTCCACCTGGTACGAGTCTGTCCTACCCCTAGAGTGGTTATAAAAAGCCTGCCTGCTGTAACATGGGCTCAAAGGCGTAGAGGCTGCTCTTCCCGCAGCGCCGAAGACGTTGCAGTCTCCAAAATAGATGCAGAAACCCCTTTTAATCAGTCCCCCTATTTTATGTCTGATGAAGGGGATTTTGTTCTCATAAAATGGATTTACATTTCCATTATAAATGCAAACATGAAAAAATGTGTTTTATTAAGCTGAAACTGTATAAAAAGGGTTATTATAGTATAAATGAATACATGGTTGATAATAACCCCTGGGAATGAGGTGATCGCTTCCAAGCAGTTTCTAAAATAAATTTTGTAAATAGTTCCTAATCATTTATATTGTAAAATTTATTTAAAAAAAAAAGTCCCGCTGGGTTTCTTGCTGGTTCTTCCCAGGACAGAGGTTTTTTTCGAACCAGTGGTAAAGTAAAAAATGACTTTCAATAAGAATTACACATGTAATGTATATTGAATAAAAATATATTCTATTCTATTCTATTCTATTCTGTCGAAATTTTAGAAATCGATTTTTTTGTGAATCAATACATCAGCTTACGATTCGAATCGATTTATAAAATCGATCTTTTTCGGAAAAAATCGACATCCCTACTGACGATGACAATGATAATACAAAATAGCATCAGTTTTACCGTAGGAATTGACATAAATTTGCAAAAATAACTGATTTTCAATAATTTTTTTCTCAAAAAGTATGCATTTCCACATATTGAAACTTTGCAAAACACTTTCTTTTAGTGAGTACTATCTACAAAAAAAATATGGGCATTTAAATCGATGGTCCATATTGGAAATTTTAACCGTTTAAGTTCTACATGGTGCACATAAAAGTAAGTTATATATAAATCAGCTAGACAGCATAGTCATAAATAGAAAATGTATACATACTTGCCCACATAATTCTTTACTAGGAGATAATATTAGTGCTCTAATGCATTGATGTGTGCTTGTATTTTTTAAATTCAATATTTTTTGTATAACAGGTATTGCAAAGGCTGCCGTCTTCCCAGAGCCTGTTCGAGCCCGTATAAGAACATCTTTTCCTTCCAGTAGGAGAGGAATTGCCGTTTCTTGGATGAGAGTTGGATGTGACCATGCCAACTGTGAAATAGCCTGAACAAGCAATAAATTAAAGTTTAATTACATAAAATAAAGAATGATCAAATGGATATTTTGTTCAGAGCACAGTATTTACTCAATTATAGTCTTCCCCGAAAAATACTGGGTAATACCTTCAAAATTCTATCATCCAACTCCATTTCGTGGAACATAACCTTTTTTTCTTCTTCCATATTTTACGAATATTTAAAAAATTAAAGACTTAATGCAATTAACTTACTAAACAAGGAATCTTATTCAGTATTCACTGTTTATCAAACATCAAAAACACAAAATTAATTATTAAAACAATAAATGCGCCATTCGCACACTCTAAGATCAACGAGGCAACCACAGACACAGACAGATCATCATAGATCACAAACAAAGAGTATAGTAACTGTCCTATACAGGAAATCACAAACTACCTAAACCTAATTAAGGGGGCACATCACGTTGGACAGCATTGTTGCGAATGTTGTGGCGAAAATCGATGGCCATCGTGTAGAGCGGGTGTTTGTGCTACACTTGGTATATTGGAATGATGGCCCACAAGTAGGCACAAGATCCGTGTGGTATCGGTTTTTTACAAAAGATCAAAGGGTTGTGGCAGAATACTGCTATAAAGTATATAATCTATGCAGTATTGGCCGGCGCGTCCACACATTGGGCGCACGTGGGGCGCACGTTTAGTTTTTCCCTATATAGCATTGTAGTCTTTGTTTAGATTGCTACGAGTTCCCATTCCTTGAGTGATCACACGCACCTGATTTAAATTTTATATTCACGCATCGTAACTAGAGTCTATAAAATGGCAGTAACAATGACCGGTGCAAAATATAGTGAAGAACGTCGACGGCAAGGGATATTTACAAAATCCGATGCTAACTAGGGAGGTCACGAGTAAATTTCCCATTTACTTACGGTCGCGTTGGTGCGATTATGCGGAACACTACGTAAGTATGGACGAACCGGATATCGTCACACTATCCCGGTTCATGATGAGAGAGGCTGAACGTGCGTTAAGTCACGCCTATACGTCTGTAGCGCCGACTAAGGAATCGCCCGTAAGACGAGAAGCACCGCCGTCGAAAGGGATAGTGTTGACACGCCGCGTAGAGGATAGGGCCCGCGATGTAAAGACGTTCACCACCCAGGAGGACAACGGAAGTGTCCCGTGTTTGTGTTATGGGGGTGAAGACCCAATCGCCAAGGGTAGGAAACTGGTACAGATGGACCTGGATGACCGGTGGAAGTGGGTGAGGGAAGATGGGGTGTGTTTTAGGTGTCCAAGCAGCAAACATCGACGCCTGAGGTGTAATGCCTAGAAGTGCCGTGTCGACGGCTGCAACGCACCCCCACCATGCCCTCCTTCACGCCTGCAAGGTCCGGACGCCTGAGACATCTGTCAAAACAGACGAAACCATGCTCGGCGCGTCAAACGTCACTAGTAGAGCATCGGTACTGTTGAAGGTGTGCCCCAGGGAAATAGATACGTACGCGCTCCTCTGGATCCACCATATCTTTAATCGACGACGAACTAACTCGCGAGTTAGGCGCAGAACGACCGACGAAGCCACTCAATATTATAGGCGTAACTAATAGCCAACGCGAGGCCAACAATAGGTTAGCTAATATAGGGATACGTGGCAAAACACGAAACGATATTTACAATGTAAGCGCGCGAACAATAGCGAACGATAGATAGATAATTTAACGACAGGCTCGCTCGCAGTCGGTCGGTAAGGAGTGCTTGCGGTTGAAGCACTTACTCGACTTACCGAGTGCAGTATTTTATGACGATGCGAAGCCGAGAGTGTTATTAGGAGACAACAACTGGCATTTGATAATCATCCGTTATCTAAGGATAGGACGCCGGAGGCAGCCCATAGCTGCTAGGACGTTATTAGGGTGGGTAATTCAAAGGACCGCGCCGCGTGTAACGTGTAGGCAACACAGCGAAACGGTTTTACACCTGTCGAGCACCTGCGGACCGCCAGATAAGGACATCCAAACGTTCGTCAGTCTGGACGAGGAGCTAACAAACCTCCTCAAGAAGTAGTAAGAAATAGATTCTGTAGGCATCTCGCTGAAGAGTAGGCCGCGACGGGAAGAGGAGCGCGCTGTCGACATATTCCAGCGCATCGTCAAGAAGGTCGGCGAGCAATACTAAGTCGAACTGCCATGGAGGGACGACAACGTGCGGATGCCACCCAGTTACGAGATGGCAGCCCGAAGACTTCGGACAATTAAACGGAAGATGGACCAGTTGCCAGAGTTTCGGGACGCCTATACAACCCAGAGCTTAGCGCTCGCTGTAAGCTTCAGTACTCGAGCAACCCGGGTTCGATCCCCGCCGGCACCAATAAAATTGTTATTTGCAATTTTAAGTGCTGATTTACCACGTGCTCGGCGGTGAAGGACAACATCGTGAGGAAACCTGCATATATGAGAAATAAGAAAAAAAATATTTCGAAGACATGTGTAGTTCACCAACACGCATTGGGGCAGCGCGGCGGACATTTTCTTGCCCTAAAACCCTCTCAGAAATGAGAGGAGGCCTGTGCCCAGCAGTGGGACGTAAATAGGCTACATCCTTACTTTCTTTTTCTTTTATACAACCCAGATAAATAACCTCCTAGAGAAAGGCTACGCGAGGGAAGCCGAGGGGACGGAAAGAGAAGACCCCAAAAGCTGGTACCTGCCACACTTCGCAGTGAAGAACCCGAACAAGGGAAGTCTTAGATCAGTAGATGTCTTAATGACTACCTACTCGACGGCCCCGACTTGTTGCGGAACCTACCGGGCATACTGTTTATGTTTAGGGAAAACGAGATAGCCGTATCCGCAGATATCCGAGAGATGTTTCTACGTGTGAAAATCGACCGTCGCAACCAACCCGCGCAACTGTTTCTGCGGCGAGGAAACGAGCGATCTAGTCCGCCGCGAGAGTACGTTATGACGTCGATGATTTTCGGCGCGAGAAGTTCACCGTTTCTCGCACATAGTGTTACGGATTATAACGCGCGCGCACACGCAGAAACACACCCGCTGGCGCTTAACGCTATCGTACGTAGTCATTACATGGATAATTACTTAGACAGTTATGCGACGGTAGACGAGGCAGGTAGGTGGGCCTAGGGCAAGATGGCCCGTGAAGGACTTTAGGGTTACTGTGGTTGGCCTAAGAGGACGCCCTGACTTTTAATACGTCCATGGAAAGGGTGCCGCATGAGGTGAAAACGCTTCAGCGACTACCGACCAAGAGGGAGGCTTTGAGCGTGGTTATGTCAGTATTTGACCCACTCGGACTGCTCAGCTACCTCACCATCACCGCCAAGATCCTGCTGCAAGACCTGTGGCGTATGAAAAAGGGCGGATGGGATGATGAACTACCCGAGGAGGCAGCGGATGAATTTCAGAGGTGGCTGCGAGTCATCGAGGAAGTTTCACGCCTGCGACTGCCAAGATGCTATGCTCCTACGGGAGGAGTGGTAGAGAGTCAACTTCACGATTTTAACGACGCAAGTGAACGCGCGTACGAATCCGCGGCATATTGGCGTATTAGATTAGTGGTGACCAAGGCGAAAGTCGCCCCGATTCAGGCGCAGCGTACACCGCGACTAGAGTTGCAGGCGAATTTGATTGGCGCGCGACTCGCGGAATTTGTGCAGGACGAACACAGAGTGAGAGCAGATAGGGTCATATATTGGACGGACTCTACTACGGCGCTCCACTGGATACAGAACGATACGGCGCGTTACACTCCATACGTAGCTTATCGATTAGGGGAGATAGCCGAGAAAACATCACCCTATCAATGAAGATGGATACCGACTGCACAGAACATAGCTGATCAGGCGCCGCGCATGAACTTCGTGGTCAAGGAACAAAGCGACCAATGGTTCACAGGACCGTCATTTCTCTACGAAAAAAAGACAGATGGCCTCACCGGAAAGAAGAGAAGGCAGGGGAGGTAATAAAATTATTAGAAACTACTGGAACTATAAAATAATCATACATTACTTATGACAAACAGAAAGTTACGGAAAGATATAGAATAGTGACTTAGTACTTCTTTTACTAAGTTCAACCAGTTTTTGACAGAATGTGATTTAATAACTTTCGAATCAGAGCTTAATTGTGGAATAGATACGGAAACACGCTGCTAATATAAACTGAAGTAATAAAACAAAGGCTTGTACTGTTGATGAACCGATAGCAATATTTATTTCACTTCTTGTTCAAAAAAATTATATGACGCACATGCTCCTGTTCGTCCCAATAGAATACGTCATCTCCCAGCCTCATTGGTTGACTGAAGTTAATAATAATAATTCTTTATTGACATTTTTATAGTTTACATACTTTTCACAAATATATGCAATACATCAAGGGGACCAATTTGAAATGGGTAGAATCCTGAGTCTCCTAGCTAGGTTACTTAGTAACCTGTATTTAGGAGATACAGACCTATCCCCCTTTTGATTAGGAATACGTAGTTGTATTGTTTAAATTTATTTAAATTTTTGTATGAAAAGAAATAAAATTTTAAAAAGACAATAAACTGATCTCTGAGTGTGTGCGTGTGCGTGTGTGCGTGCGTGCGTGCGTGTGTGTGTGTGTGTGTGTGTGTGTGTGTGTGTGTGTGTGTGTGTGTGTGTGTGTACGTGTGTGTGTGTGTGTGTGTGTGTGTGTGTGTGTGTGTGTGTGTGTGTGTGTGTGTGTGTGTGTGTGTCTGTATTAAGTAGAAAATTATATAAAATAAATATGCCACAATGCCACGTAATATTTTTATAACAATGTTAACAAGTATTCTTCCGTATCATAATATGACTTATTTGGCAGGAAAGAGCGGACAGCAGTTTTAAAATTAAATGTTGACATTTCATAAACCTCTATTTTCGCATTTATCGCATTCATTTTGCTATAAAGTAAAGGACCTAAGCAAAGAGAATATTGGACCTAAGTAATAGAAAATCTTTTTATACATGAAAAATTGACTAGTGGAAGTGTGCATACTTTGTCTTTACGACGTTTTGTAATTTCAATGAAAGGAGTCTTAATATGCTGAAGTAATACTGTGTGCAGTATAAAAAGCTGCCTCACACTAAGAACAGCGCAATTTTGATATAGTTGAACAGTTGGAAATAACATTGGTTTAAAAGTAGCAACCTTTAATATTGCTCTTTGC